AGAATTTTAGATAAGGATCCATTTACAGCAAGAAATTGAATTATAACTGTTAGATCTAACATTAAAAACTATATAACATTATGTGATCACGTGTTACACTCAGAGTACATGTTGAGGACGACGCTCAACTACTACCACACCAAAATGCAGGTCAGTATCTGTAACGTTCATTGAGTTAAAGGCATTTTTGTGTTTTAAAGGTAATCAGATATAGATTTACATCATATGATTACTTTTAAATGTGTCCACATGTCATGAAATACTTTGCTCACAGACAGACGCACACATAAACACCTTTGCCTTTTGGCAGTGGCGATCATGAGGGGGAAGGAACATAAATGTGAGAGCTGTGAATAAACTCTTAATGATGAGGAGTTTAAAATGAAAGCAGCTGGAGTGAGTGTGTCTTATGAAGAACTCCATGAAGAGCCTGAAGCTCCAATTGCAGTTGAACAAATACAGTATTATAAATCTGATTAAATAAAACTTGGGCTGATTCACACAGATCTAGTTTATTTTTGTTTCATGTTTCTCCTGAAAGACATGGTAAGTTGTGTTTTGGTGCACGTGACTTCACTCTCGTCTCACAAACCAAGCACTGTTCCACACAAGTGCTGCATTTTAAATGTAAATAATAGCAATTATTGTTTGTTAGTGTCACATCTGAGCAATTCTAACAAAGATCGTGTGCCTCCTGCATGAGATCTTGGTCATGCACTTTAGATACGGTGATCACGACATCCACACATCATCGGTGTGTTTTGTGTCATCCTCAGTGTCCTCAGTGTGTCCTGTACATCTGGAACAGCCGTGGTGCTTCCAAACAGCTGTGCTGCCCTCTGTTGCTCAGATTTAGGTCAGACACGTGTATGTGGGTTTAGACATGGATGTAACTGTATGACCAAAATGAAGACCTTTAAGTTTTTCTCTCTCCTTTTATACTTATAGAAGCAGAACTTGGCGACAAATTGTTCACTTTTATTGTGTTGCATGAATTCTTTTTCAAGCCTGAAGAAACTTTTCATCTCAATTCTTATTTCAGCTCAATTAAACCAACAGGAATAATTAAATTACAGTACTGACACTGATTACGATGGTTATGGGGTTTGTAAAGTTACACAGTCACAAATTAACAGCAATATTTTGGTTTATTTAGCCTTTCATAAGAAAAAAAAGTGTTTTTTTTTCTCAAAGTCATATTTTTACTGTTATTCATAAAGTTTTAAATTTCATAGTTCCAAACTAAATATTTAGTTTACAAGCTAAATATTTAGTTTACAAACTAAATATTTAACTTGCAAGTAAAATATTAGTTAATACAAGTTAAATTAGTTAGTGAACTAGTTTAGTTTAGTTCACTAACTAGAATTTAGTTAGTGAACTAAATATTTAGGTGTAAATTAAATATTTAATTTCAAAGCTAAATATTTATTTTCCAAACTAACCATTTAATTTTTACGCTAAACATTTAATTTCTAAACTAAATATTTAATTAGCTAACTAAACATTTAGCTCTGAACTAAATATTTATTTTCCAAACTAAACATTTCATTTCCAAAATAAATATTTAATTTGCTAATTAAAACATTTAGCTTGGGCATAAACTTTTAGTTTGTAAACTAAATATTTAGCATGTAAATTAAATATTTATTTTGGAACAATGACTTTTATAAATGTAAGAATAGCATAGTGAAAATATGACTTTGAAAAAAAAAGTTTTTTTTTCTTATGAAAGGCTAAATAAACCAAAATATTGCTGTTAATTTGTGACTGTGTAACTTTACAAACGGCACCCATAGATGGATCAGTTTAGGAGCATCTGTGTGTTTTTAATGACATGTTGAGAAACTTTTCTGGTTTAGCAGTGAATACTGAAACAGTTCAGTGTTAAACCTGAGCAGACCTGAGGAGTTCCTGACAGATGAAATATTTCATGTAGCCTAACGTCAGTTCCGAAAACAGCTACAGTAATTCTGCTTTGCACATCCACAACAATCCATCTCTGCATCTGTTCACACTCATTATAATCCAGCCCTGCTTCTACCACATCAGTGAAGTGAGCAGCACCGGCAGCCCGGCACAGGCCAGATATTTCCCGACATCAGGACCATCGTGATGCATCTGAACGACGCCAGGCCGAATCAGAGCCTCTGAGCTTATGTGACCCGGCTGGATAATCTCTGACCCACTTTACCGCATCTGGACGGGCCTCATCTGGTTATACTGGTGAGCAGCCCTGTGCTGTCTACATCCTGTTAAATTAGCTGAGCACAAACAAAATATGACTTTAGCTGTCAAAATGATGGGATGAGGGGCTCTGCTGCTGTCAGGAAGTGGCGTTTTTGTGTCAGTGTTTGTCCATGGCGAGCACAATTTAAAAATATACGACACTAATTCACAGACTTACTCACACACCGAGCTGAAGACAACAAAACATGCTGATCATAACGTCCACACTTTTGTTTTTTAAGGACAATCTATTCCACTGCTGTAATTACAAACTGAATAAAGTGAGAAAGACCAGCTGTGACCACTCTGATGGAGGAGCTGCCCTGGTTCTTCATCAGTCTGAGCTTTATGGAGATTGGCAAAGGGAAAGCCACTGCTGAAGAAAACTCCCTTGACTGGACAGCCTTTAAAGACTCCATGGTCACGTGCTGCTGGGCATCCGGCCTGGAAGCCTTGTAAAGGTCAGGGGTGTCTTGGTGTCCTCTCTCACTCGGTAGATTTACACGTGTCCCATATTTCTTGCTGATGGATTTAACAAAACTCCTGCAGACGTTTAGGACCTTGGAAATCCTTTTATACCCATCCTGGTCTTGTCCTTTTATTTAATATTTTCTCTGAGTTGAAGTAGGACTGACACTTTAAAGGGGGTAAATATATACAAATTTGTTTTATTTTACGTATTTTACTTTTAGAAACTTTATCTCACTTTGACGACAAAAAGTTTTATTTTTTGGAGACTGCACAGAATATGCAGACACATATTCACCTTGGAAAACAGGTTTCTTAACTTTATTTATATCTTAACTCTGACGTTAACTTTAATGCAGCCCGAACTGCAACGTGTACCCCCACAAATCTTATATCAAAACAATCGGCTCGGCCCCGTGATGTGTGCTATTACTTTTATTGGCGTTTCGTTTTACCATGGCGAGGTAATTTGCAAACAAAGACACCAATTTCCCCATGACGGAACACTTCTCACACTCTAAACAGCCGTTCTGAGGTCACATCACCTGGAATGTACAGCTCCATGAAATAAAATCAGAAAGTCATCAAACAAACTCTTCCTAACACCATACTGGTTGTAGGAAGGATATTGAGCTGAAATCTAATATGGTTGTACCTGAGAGCGAGTTGTTTCATGTGTTTAAGGTTAAACTGGTGGGATTTTTATGGAGTCTTGTGTAGCTGGTAAGCCAAGTTTTTATCTGTACCTACATTTGTTAATTAAATCATGGTAAATAAAGGTTCTGAACCAAATGAGGCCACCTCCAGTATGAGTATCATAAATGGGTCAAAAATGGATCCGGGCCGGATGATGTGTTCTACAAACGGATCCGGGCCGGATGATGTATTCTACGAATGGATCCAAAACGGATCCGGGTCAGATGATGTGCTCTACGGACGAATCCAAAACAGATCCGGGCCAGATAATGTGTTCAACAAACTGATCCAAAATGGATCCGGGTCGGATGATTTGTTTATGAACGGATCCAAGGTGGATGCGGCACTTAATGAGTGTATCCGGATAGGGTACGAGCCAGATCTGATCTGGATCCATTCCGGATCCGTTCCGTTGTGCAAGTGGAATCCGATCCGGGTCCATTTTGAGGATCCGTTGCGAGGCCTACACTAGATCCGCAATGGATCTGGTCCGGGGTCCGGAGTTTGCTATCTGGATATACATTCCTAATACAAATCCAATATCCAAGATGGCCACTGTTGTGGGTTGTAAGATTGATTTAAAGACAAAATAGGCAGACACTTGGATCAGCTTCCGTTTTCTTGTTTACTTTCACTTTTGTTCTTTCTCCTTCCGTCACTCTGTCCAGCACATTTCAAACATACAGTCTTATAGCGCCCTCTGGTGCCCTTTCTATGCAATAACACAATTCAGTTTCATCAGCAGAACACAACAGCCACCTTAGCTAAAAGAGAAAAAAACATGATAATTCATCCATTTTTAGAGCGATTCAGCTGAAATCTGGTATGTTAGTAGCTGAGAGCAAATCCCAACACATAATACTGTCAAATCAAACTTTTAAATTAGCAGCAGCCTGTCAGTCCCCGTCAAATTTTCTCCAGGAACTTTCTAGTATTTATTCATTACTTTTTTCCTAAGGAAGGCCACATTATAGTGACCATGACTGATTTATGGCAGCAGTAAAGCATAAAACATCCAAAGGGGTAAATTCCTTTATAATGAGGGTCTGTCTCTCTCAGACTGAAATCTAAACATCTAGTTTCATTTAATAGTTAATATTTTGTGCTAATTAACCCGTTATGCTAGCAGTGTGATTTTTTTCCTGCTAGCTCGTGATTATAGCAAGGCTGCAGAATTGATGATTTTCATTTTTTTATATACACGTTTTTAATGTTTTTCTAAATTCTACACTGAAGGCACTGCAACCGTTGTAACATTTTCAGGCCATGAGAGAAAAGACTCGGCTCCCACCTGTAAAAGCCTGGTCGGGGATTTAAAAACCTCAGAGACAATTGTGAGGGCTATTTTGTTTGGGTTTAGCCGAAGTCATCTGAGACTGCGGTTCTCATTACGGGCCATCAGCGTGTTTGTCTTTTGGCTCCGAGCCACTCCCTTCAGCATTTTGCTCTTCCTGCTTTACTGTTTGATGCCAGCAGCAGACACTTTGCTTCACTGCAGCTTCAACAGACACAGCGATGAGAAAAACAACCACCAATAATGACATAACCCCCGCTTTTTTTTTTTTTACTCTCATGTAATTATTGCATCAAAACAACACGAGAACACACCACATGCATTGTGTCTTTATTAAGAATGTGCTGTTGTAGCATAGTTCAAGTGCCAGCTCATTAATATTATCATATATGAATAAAAATCCACAACATGCCAATAAGCACAAAGATTATAAAGCCCTGCGAGGGCTGGCTACATAATGCTAACTCATATCAACTAGAAAATGATCACAATATTGACATTTCTATCTGCAGGATACATACAATCGATTACTATTACAGTTACATTATAAGAAATAAATATATGCCGTTTTAACTGTTGCAGAAAATCTAAAGTCTGATTGAAAAAGGAACCCAAGTTGTTTGAAATCACAGTGAGATTCACGATAGATAAAGGTCAGAGGTTAGTTAAAAACACAGCAGGTATTAGAATAAGAAGAACAAAAAAAAAAAAAAGGTTTTAAAATTGTTTTTCCACTATAAAGCTAATCAAACTTTCTCAACCACAAAACCATGGTGCCCTTACAAACCAGTCGCCAACAAGAAATCTGTACACAACAAAACGGGCGACTGATATGACACTTTCTGGAGAAAAATCAACAGTTTGTGGCGGGTTTTTTTTTTAAGGGACATAAAAAGGCTACAATGTGTCCAGCTAAGAAGCACCCGTGGACAGAAACTGAGGTTGCATCTGTGGCGACAATAACAAGTGATTGGATTTGTTAACCAAATAACGATGCCCACGCACGCAATTTGAATTTGTGAGCACAGCAGGCAGGAGCATCTCGTTTGGATTGAGTTTAACGCAGCTTGATCTTTGACAAACGTCATAAAAAGAGTGGACGATGCAGGGAAACTGTGTTTTTGCTACGATGGGTTTTGGTTACTGAACCCTGTTCCCAGATCACAGTGGTAAGTGGTGTAGAGCAGATAAACTATAAAGTTGCTGGAGGAGATCGACGCAGTTCACGATCCTCATCCCGACACTGATGTGGTCAGCAGTCCCTTCATTTCTTGCATTTGGCACGTGTTTTCCTTGCAGTAAAGACTGTGCCTTCTGAGTGAGACTTCCCATAATCCTTTGCCATTTCAGCGCCCAGTCGTCGTAAGCCCCACTTTCATCCTCTTCCCCCCCTCCCCCATTCATGCTCAAACAGACGTGAGGCGTTTAAAAGTCACATTCTGAGACAAGAGGTTCAAAGTGTTTCTTCTCTGCGTGTGAAAAGGAGGAATCTCTGCTGTTTGATACCAGAGCATCAGTCTCTGCGTGTGTCTGAGAGGATCTGTTAGCAAGTTCGTTCAGTGATGGGTGGGCTTGGCATTTTGTTGGGAGCTGCATGTGGAGCTGGCTTCTTTGCTTTCTAGTCCCCCGAGTCTCATTCGTCCGTTTTCTCCCTTCTCGCCTCAGATTGAGAGCAGCATCATTTGGATGGTTTAATTTCTTCCATTACCATAAGGGACTGTACACATATTACAGAAATATAAGTTAGCACTGTGTGTCGGGAGCGTATTTGTCACAGGTCCAGGTAATGACTGGGCGGTAAAGGTGGTGGTGCAGGTGTAGGCCAGATGGTCAGTTGCCTTATCCGGATTCATCCTGTGTTGAAACTCAGGTTTTCACATTTACTAAAAAAAGAAGAGGCGTGTTAGTCAGAGCTACATATTCTGCAACTTCATCTGGATATATGAACTTTCACAGACCACAGAGGACAGTTACATCATGAGAAAAACAAGGGCTGCAGAGTCCCAGAGGTGTAAAACTCAACCTGCGTCTACAATTGGTCTTCTGGTTATTGAGCTAATGATCTCTTGGTCTAATGGGACCCAACAGGCAGAGCCAAAAGTACCAGCATAAACTGAAATGGGCTCAAATAAAAAGTGGGGGGAAATAGTTAAAGAGATAATTCAGTTTAGTTTAAGTGAGGTTTGTGGAAACATGGTAAACAGTCATTATCTTACCTGTCACCTGTATTGTCTGAGCACATTTATCACTTATTTGTAGATTTTTGATGATTCTGAAGCAATATTTGAATGTTATAGTGCTTCTACAAATAAATGCACAAAGGTTGTGCACTTGACCTCTGACCCCTGACTGTGTGTTAGAGGTGGAAATATTTAAGCACCTTACAATTTGATTTGGTTATGATTCAGAGGGCTTCTAAAAAACAATCACTGATGCATTTTGATTATCTTAAAATGTAAATGTCTTGTTTTACATAAATGAGCACTGATTTATAAATTTTCATGCCTAACAAAGACAGCACAATAACAAAAACCCTATTGATGATTTATTGAAGCTGCTGACCAACAGTTAGCACAAATGCTAACATAACATTGAAAACGCAAAAAACCCCAAAAAAACTATTATTGTGTTTATTACTGGAAATGTATACACAAATAAATTTACATCCATTGCATATTTAAATATGTACTTTTCAGGGTTCAGCAAAGAAAACATGAATATGGACTTGCTACGGTAGCTCTGCTAGGACAAACAGTGCTGCTTAGCAATTACTCTGCTGACTTTCTAGAAGCAGCGGAGCAAATTACTGGTGATAAAATCGATTTATTACTTTTGAAAATCTTTCCATCTTTCACACTGCCTTGCATCTAATAATAGATTTTACCTCTCGCGCCTACAAGATGTGTGCTCAGATAGCACATTAGATGTATTTACCTCTTTTTGGATCATTCAAAGTTCTATCTAGAACAGGTAAGATATTAAATGTTCATAATCTTTCCACAGAACTCCACTTCAAATCCTGTGAACTACAGCTGGGATTGATTTGACCTCTCATATAAAAGTTTCAGTACATATACTAGTCCCAACCTCTGCAAGTGACTGAAATAATCACTGTTTTGTTATCAGAATCCTTTTATTTAAAAGGTGCATTAAAATGTACATTTTTTTTTCCAGCTTGTTAACTTGTCAATAACTCACATGCTGATATACATTGTTTACATTCAGGAACAAGACTTTACATTTGGTACAAGCAAGCAGTGCGAGATGTAAAACAGACAATGGAGTACACATGTCACTCTACAGGAGAACAGAGGCATGCAGTGATTAAAGCTTACAATGTAGACTTGGGTTGGATTTAAAAGCGTGTTCTGTTCTTCATATTAATGTCATGAGTTATAGCCAGATTATGCTTACTATATTATAATGGAACAAATAGGGAATAAGAGGTTTTTGAGAAGGAAATATAAAAGAAGGACATAAGAGGGAAGAATCAACTGGACACAGATGCACAGAAGATAAAGAGGTGTTGCTTAAAGGTCAGATTTGGGACACTCACTAGCCAGGTTGACAATGCAGGCGATGATTATGATCGTTCCTCCTACTAGTGACACCACGGAGAGCATTTTGGCCACACGTCCCAACCGCACAGCGCCATCCAGGTTCCCCTGTTCCAGGCTGTTCTTGGACTAAAGGAGAAGATCAAACCACGTTGTTAGCTTCTAACGACATCATGTTTGTGCCATCTGCATGTCCTGCTCTTACCATGATGGAGTAGACGAAACCAACAATGTTAATGGGCCACACAGGACAGAAGCAGGCCAGCACGGACAGAAGGAGGTAGTCTTTGACCTTGGTCCGGTCTAACGGTGGGTTGGTGGCGATGCTGGAGTGACGAGAAATGGACGGCCTCGGGGAGAAGGCGGTGTAGCCAATGGAGCTCGCCCTGCTGCCCTTCCTGGTCTTGCCATGATGAGGGTAGGAGATGGAGTGTTGCCTTCTAGGAGGGGAGGAGATAACGGGAGAGGTGCTCTCTGCAGGCACAGCGTGGATCCCATTACCTGCACGTGAAAAGGACAAGGACAAGCAAAAGTTAATGTGTGTGTGTGCGCGCACGCTCTCCCTGGAGCTCATATGCAGTGGGAATTGACTTTCCCTGCACTAGCTGAGTAAGCAGCTGCATGACCCAACCTCTACTCACCCTCTGCCTCAGTATGAGGTCACACTCAGCGACTTACCGTTCTTCAGTTTCTCGTTGATGACTATCACGAGCTCTCCTTTGGATTTGCTGCGGGGGGGCCCTGTACTGGCCGGCCTGCTGCTGCTACTGTGGAGTTCTTCGCCTGTAGCTGATCGACATGGCACAAAGATGGGGGCTTGGCCTGAAACGGAGCCCTCCTGATCCAGCAAGGACGGTTGTTCCTCTCCTGACCAAGTGGCGGGAGCTGGCATCATGTTCACAGCCATTCCGTCAACAAAATTAGGCCTCTGGTTGAGGTCCATTGCTGAGTGTGTTGTTTGTAGTTACACCTGACAGAGCAGAAAATAATTGCAGTTAGAGCTGTAAAAAGATATTGCTCACTAGAGTCTGATTAAAGACAAATATTGTAGGAGCAGGGGGTGTTTATTTAAAGAAAATAAAACTTGTGTCTACCACGAGTTAACAGGAAAACGATTCTGCCATTAAACCCATTCTGTGTGTCTCAAAAGCACTAACTACATTAAAAAAATTAATACACTTTTATTATCTGCTGCAGATGTGCCTGTTATCCACATGCGGATGCTAATTTTTATTTAGATACACTTTTTTTCAAATATTTTTCCTAATTATTTTTTTTTGCATAATTATTTTAAATGCTTGGCAAACACACTTTGCATTGGAAATCTTTGTAAGTTTGACAGATTTTAAGATAAATTTGTAAATATATTTGGATAGGAGATATACTGCTTAATAAGACAGTGTTTGTTATTATTTGTAAAAATCAAATTTACCAGTAAAGAGCATTTTGTTATTAATTTACATAATTTAATAACATTTATATAAAATAATAATATACAACAATTTTATAACATAATTTTGGCCAAATTTACAAAGCTAAAGAAGAAATTAGCACCATATACAAAAATACAGATCTTTGCATTTGTCAAACTTTATTGGTAAATAAATAAAATCGAAAACTATCATATTGATATTTTTAAAACGTGCTTGCCATTTCAAAATAATTTAAACATGTTTGCCTTTCTGTTATATTTTAATTTAGATCAGGACTTTCAAAAATTATTGCTATTTTTAAATTTCAAAAACATTTTTATCTCCATCATTATGTCTTTTATATTTATCATACAACGTCATTATTTATATTTGCAACTGTTTGTAAACGCGTGTATTAATAAAGCTTACTTGTTTAAAAAAAATCTATTTTGGCGCGTGCTTGATGTTGCTGTGTACTGAGCATGCGCAAGAAACCAAAACAACAATGGCGTCAGGTTTTGTTTTTACCGGTTTTTAACGACCTTGTTGCCATTTGCCTGTGTGTTGCAATTGTTTATTTTACTAAAATCACTCAAATGAGTAACAACTTCGAATAAAACCAAGCACTACTATTTGAGAAATTCACAAGCTAGGTTAAAATTAACGAAGTTAAAGACTTTATCGCCACCTAACGGCGTTAAATTGCTATTTTAGCATTTTTGTTTCCTGTTGCGTTGGTCCAAGTTATAGACAAGTTGTGAGAATTACAGCAGTTCTGATGTGGTTTATTCATTTATTTATACAGCAGTTCAGAGCTGGTTTTATGTGTTCATAACATGTCCACACAGGCTACAGGGTTGCTGTGGAAACGACGTCAGCTTTCTAAACAGCGTAGCTACACCCGTGACGTAGCTTTGCAGCATTAAGAGCAGCTCGCAGCTTCGTTGTTTGTTCAGAGGCTTCCCCGAAGTGCCAGCGGACTATTCAATTGGACATCTGTCTAAGCTTGTTGTTCTCCACGGCCCTCGGCTAGCATCAGCATTGATTTCACTCAGCGCAGCCGAGACACGAAAGGACACATCTGTGAATAAATAAACAATAAATAAACTACCCACAAATAGGATTAGGATCCGATTCGGAGATTAAAATTCCAAAGAAATAGATTTGCAGCCTGAACCAAAGGATCTATAACGATTTACTCTCATGAATTAAATGAAGTCCAGGTCTGTTTACAGACAGAGGTGAACAGAATATCTACTACCCGTAAAAAAAAAAATCCAAATATTAATCCGTAATCCTCTTCGACATTCACCCTTTTATTTAACCACTTGTCATAATGCTGGATTGTAAACACTGAAACACGCCCCTGATTCAGTAAATAAAGCGTTAAATGTGTTCAGAATGAGAAATAAAAAAGGGAAAGGAGAAATAAACGGGTCACAATGACACAGGAGCACAAAGGCAGGGCACATGGAGGCTCCTTTGAAACCAAAGTGGCAGCCATGATCTCAGGCCAGGTGTGTACATTGCTTTATTCCACCATGTTGACACTAGTGAAGCAGCATTGTTGGAACAAAAGCTGCGGGAAGAGGTGAAGGACAAAAAGGGGGGGGGGGGGAAGCCCTGTGATGGAGGGAGGCAGCTCAGTAATTAGCTGCTGCTCATCGTTTGTTTTCAGATGGAGCTGATGCTAAACTGCAGCGATGAGCAGAAGAAAACAAGTCATACGTAAGAAATTAGGCTTCTTAAAACTAGAGCGTAAATAAAAACAAACTGACCTTTTTTAAATCACGTCTGTCTGATTACAGCTGGGCTGTCCCTGGCTTCGGCATCGTGGAAACCAATTCTCAAGTGGGAATAATAAAAAAAATCAGGCAAACATGTCCTTTCCCAGCTGGTGCGTTTACAAACGGGGGCTGTTTGTGTAAAATCCGAGCGCGCACAAGTGATGGATGCAGAGATGAGGCGCAGTGTGTGGATGGATGGAGCCTCCTGATGGCAGGGAGGTGTGGAACAATCCACCAGGCTGTGCAGAGGAGGAGGAGGGGAGAGCTGGAGCATCATCCTCTCCTTACTCCACTGAAAACACTTTCTAAACATGTAATATTTACTCACTGCTGCTGCACCAGCAGCTCCACAAAGGTGGAAACAGGACACCCACCAACCCCACCCCACAGATGCTGATTGATGACTTCATACCTCGCAGGGTAAGCAACATTGACATAAGGTTACTAAGATTTATTGCTCATATGAAATAAATAAAACCACTCGGTTCATGTGTGAGGTTTATTAAAAAACTCTGGTGGTGCGTCACCAGCAGGAATCACCACAACAAAAAATAGCACAAAAAAAAAAAAGGCATTGTGTAAAAGCTATTTACATTAAACAAGGCTTTATTGGAAGGAGGGAAAAAAAATAAAAATAAAAATCATTTTCCCATGGCACTCAGGATGTTCGCCTGCAATGAACAAAAGTACAAATGAGTTAATTCAAAAGCAACGTTATAAAAATAGTCTTTTTAGAGAGAAATGTTGAATGTTGTTCATAACTGCCTTGAATAAAAGGACTTCAGACTTTTTTAAATGGCAAAATTCAGAGGAAATGTAGAACAGTCAATAAGAATCAACTGCAGTTAAACTACACAATAAACTGATGTTATGCTGATTAGTACAAATCAGTTCAGTTTTCCCCCTTAGTGGAATAAAATTAGAATTTTAAACTAAAATAAAGAGCTTTTGAAATCAGCATATTGTTTAAATGCAACTAGCAACATTCATAAAGTCTCTGCAGTCGAGCACTTCAGGACCCCTTCAGGTGTTCAGGATATTTGTCAACGATCCAGCACAACCATCAATTAAATGAATCAAAATTCACGTCTTCCAAGGTTTAACGCTTAACAAATCTATCAAACTGGGGTTTATAATCATTGCCTCTGCTTACATTTGTTAAAATTTGGAGCAACACTTTGCAAATTTTACTGCTCGTCTGTTTCACACACTTCCAGTCTGAATAAAACCCTCTAAAATCCCTCCAGACTTTTCTTTTAGCATCAGCCATGCACATTTTATCTGTTCTTCTGCATACTGGCAGCTTCTCTCTGCAGGCAAGAACAAGGTGCTCACTACAGAATAACAGAAAATCTGATCTGGGTCCAGATCCAGACCACAGCCCCCCCACTATATAACTATACTTAGTATGACCTTTGAATAAAACCGGCCCATTTAAAATAGTTCTGAACAGTTTGGGGCGCCATCTGTCCCATAATGAAACTCGTCTTGTAACGTCACCTGTTTAAATTAAAATGAGACATCACTAAGTGGTCATTTTTTATTTTAAATGTATATTTAATCATTTTATTATTTAAAAAGCAAAGCAGAAATCAAACCTAGAGTCCACAAACCCATCAGTGGATGACAACAGTCATATTTTTTTTAAATATACAGTTTATAGGTAAACCTTTTGATACAAACTGAAAAACGTGATTCTTGAGGACTTGACTTACCTTGACAAAGGTGGAAAATCTCTTTTCCGTCATGCCCTCAACTTTTTTTAGATCTTCCAACTGCAAATATTAAGAACATCACTCATTACAAACCGTCAGGATGTGACACGCACAGATAAGCGTTTTCTGAACAGACCTCGGTGAATTGACCATGGATCTCCCTCCAGCCCAGAATGAGTTTAGCCTTCTTGTCCCCGATCTGCTGCAGACTTTTCAGCTCTTTGAGGCAGCCAGTGTTGAGAATATGCAGGATTTTCTCTTTGGACTGTTCCAGCAAAGGCGTGCCAAGTTGAGACACCCAGGAGTTCTGCTCTTTTGCGTTTTCTTTACCACCTGGGGCCTCACACAGGTCCTTTCTTCGTGATGCACACAGGCTCTTTTTTGATGACCACAAGCTGAGGCTGGAGCATGGACACTTGTAAGGGCTGGACCACAGCCTGCTGCTTATTGGTTTTTATGACATTTGGTTGTTTTCTTTGGAGGGGGGCTGAGCTCTTGAAGAGAGGCTCCTGTTTTAATCTCAACTTGTCTTCTGCCAACTTGGCCTCTCTCTCAAACTCCCTCTGCCTTTCTTTGAGCTCCTGCAAGAAGCAAAAATGTGAAACGATAAAAGAGAAAAAAGCTGATTGAACAATGGGACAAAAGGTTGAATACAAACAGAAGCTGTGACATATTAGCAAACCGACATGCTTTTTATACGACCGTGCTACTTCACCTGGATTTCTTTGCGAGACTGAGCCATGTCTTTCAGCACGCTCTGCCTGTCTTTGTCCTGGCAGCTCATTACTAGCTTCTCCAGAGCGATTAGTCTGTCCATTACAGATGGATCAGACAAACTGAAACAGAACCAAATCCAGAAAGGTGGGTAAATAATGAGGACAGGTCATACGACTGAGCTTTGAAACAAATGTCAAGTATCCTAGGCAGCTCAGATATGTACATTTGATAAAGACTGTGAAAAAGCAGCACGCTTCTCTCCAAGCAACTCCATAAACTATTCTTCAAACAAGTCTTAAAACTGGGCTCACCTGGGAACTTTGGACAAAGACATTTTTTGTCCAGACAAAGTCAGAGGTCTGACATAAAGTCTGTGTATCACTAACCTGTGGTAATGTGCTGAAGGCGAGGAACCATCCTCGTCGGCTCTTTTCTCGTCCTTCTGCTTCTTCTTGTTTGGCTCAGTGCCAGACGGCCCTGCCTCATGCTCTCCTCTGGACCGCTTCACTGGAGATCGAGGCAGAGTGAAAATTAACAGTTTAGTATTCAGTGCACTGTGGCGACAGTCTCAGATTCTCTGGTGGGAAGAAACTAGGAAAGCTGGCACACGAGTCAAGGTTGCACTGAGCGGACAGAAAAGGCAGAATGACTAAATGCATTTTTAAAAACAGATGAGCCATCTGAACAAAATAGTCGTCGCTCGCCGTTCACTGCATCGCAGGTTTTTGAAACATGGTTTTTCATAGTGTGTACAGTACATTCATCTCATCGTCCTAGTGGTTCAGAGCTGTTACATGGTCATCATTCTCTGGGATACAACTTAGATGTGCTCTACTAAAACATCACGACAAATTCTGACCTACTGGTAATTTCTATACCAGTTCTGTTAAGTTTGGAGACCAAAGGCCTTAAATTCCTCTAAGGAATGCTAAATCTCTTGCTGCTGTTATTTGTAGCTGTTCTGATCCAACACAGAAAATGATTATTTCCTGAAAGTTTAAAATCAGTTCACTGGTTTGTGACTTATTTTGAAGAGCACATTTGACTCAAATAGTTAATGGGAAGCAGACACAGGCAAAAGCATCATCCAGCGTTGCTGTAATGGCGCCGGGCAATAATTACAAATCCAGTCCAACTCACCTGGCAGCACAGGCACAGTCACGGTTTCACGTGTGAAAGGCTTGTTCACTATGAGCTTGGATTTGGCTGCAAAGTTCAGGGCACTAAAAGTGTCAAAATAATATGCATACTCTGGTGCGATGTTAGTAATCATGACAGAGTGTGCTGAGCCTCCCAGAGAATCCTGCAGCAGCCGGGTCAGTTTACTGTCTCTGTATGGCACACGGCCAGACGTGCCAGAGTTGAGGGCGTCCACCACTTTGCTGAGTGTGAAGAGGGACAGGTTGATGGCTCCACTCTCCTTCAGACGGATGCCCTGGTTTCCAGTGCGGCGATTGTCCTCCGACCCAGCCAAGTCTACCAAGTACAGCTTTCCTGTCTGCTGCCGGTGGGGTAAGGCTCGTCGAGTCCGTACAACCTGATTGATTTGAGAGATCATGAGAAGGGGACAAAACCGGAAAGACAGAAAGTTAGATGAAAAGTGACAAAAAGCAAATTTCACAAATCTTTTTCATAAATCTCATAAATATTTTGTAAGAGAAATTCAAACTGACGTGTAAAAAAAATTACAATCTTGGTTGCAATATAAAACCCTATAAAAAAAGACAAGTTAAGAAAAAGCACATGTTTGTACCTCTCCTGGTAAAGTCCCAAAAAGCACAATAGTTATTGGGATTGTCACAGAAGAGATTTGATTTTAGCACCAGCTACCAAATCCTGGTCTACTGCACAGAGACCATGACCTGCTAAGATGCTGTTTCTCTGCCTTACTTAAACGTGGAGCAGCTCAACAAAAACATTTCTCAGTTTGTTGAACGATTGCTGACAAACCTTGATAAGAAGAATAGCGTGACTGCGACTGGAGCGCTGGTTTAGTTTGGTAGAAGCAGTGGTACGATTGAGGGTGGCGGGGACAAAGTGTTGGTCAAAATCTGAGAAGGAGGAGATGATTGTGTGGGTGAGACCGGGGATTAAAATGTTCTTGTCTTTGTCCTCTCTGATGGGCAAATCCTGGGAGTTTGGAGACAGAAGATCAAGAACCTGAGAAAACAAGAGATTAAAGTTGTGAGGGATTACACAAATCCATTTTTCAAACATTAGGACATATAATAAAGTTGTGCACATAAATTACATTTCAAAGTTCAGGCTATACAGTTATGAAGTATTGAGAACAAGTTGAATAAAATGTATCCAGTTCAGCATAAACTAAACAAGAAGCTATCATTATTTCATGTTTGAGTAAATAAATACAAATGATAAATAATCTGCAGGCGGTCGCAGGTCAAATTCCTCTGCAGTAACCTGGCATTTCCAGCCAGTCTGCAGGGACGAAACACAACACCCAGGCGGACATTTAAATTGTGCTGAACGGTCAGAGCACAGAGCTGCAAGAACGAGCCCAATGCTAAAATAAACACAGAGGTTCCAAAACAGATGGACAAATCCATGAATAGATAAAATAAATAAATTCAGTCCCTGCAGCAGCTGTCTGCTCAAACTCAGACCTTCTGTTTGAAACTGACTGAAAGTTACTAAATTAATTTGTGCATTGAAATCTCATTCAGTCTCATTTATAGGAAATGCATATGTTGGAAATAAATAGCTAGTAGAACTAGAAAAATGTTTAAAAAAAACAAAACAAAAAAACATTGCAGTTAGAAGTGTAATTGCAAATATTTTGTAGGAAACAATAAAAAAAAAAAACACCCAAAAGAATAAATAAAAACCGTGCTGGACATAAACAGACCTCCTCACAATCTTTGTGCTTCAAAAGAAAAGTACCATTCTTTTAAGAAACATGCACATCAAAGATCAAATAGTTGGTGCTCAGTATGTGTTTGGGATGACTCTCAGCTACTACCACACCAATATTTAGCCAAAAACTGTAAAATGACCAGCATTTGCTGCTAACTGCTAAGAGGAGTTAGTTGTGGTGGCCATCATTAATCAAGTTAACTCCAAAAGATAATCATTTGTAGCTACTGATCAGGGATATATCTAAACTAATTGACTGAATATCCTTAAGCAAATCATGGCTTCGTTCTAATGTTTGTGTACGACTGTGATATAGAAATTATTATTTTAATGCTTTTATGTCAATCTAGACCTATATTACACTTATTTAAACACACTTATACAACGTGTTATTCACATATTAGGGATTGTATTTTGTATTATGTGTTCAAACATATACTTTGTGTGTGTGTGTTGCTTATAATATTTAGACACTCTTTGATGGTTTGCAGAAGGGACGAGGAGTGCTCTTTAGGAATGCTTTAATAAGCATTAGGAGTGCTCTTGACCTGGAAGCTTTGGCCCGCTTTTACGGTCACAGGCGCTCCTTAAAGGATGAGCCATCGCTTTTGATGATGGTTTAATTAGATCCGTTGTTCTGGTAACCATCAAACTTGCTTTGATCTGCTCTCACGCGATCAGGGAAGCCTTTATAAGAAATGTATCAGACAACAGAGAGTTGGAAGTCCGGTGTGGATCAGCACGCGCTGAATGCCATGCACCAATTTTGATGTGATTCTTCTTTACCTGGGTCGAAAACGACTTCCCGGCCAGTGTCACGGTGAGAAGTTCTTTCATATCAATCTGTGTTAAGAGTGTACGAGTGTACATGTTTGTTTTTTGCTCGGTTGTTCTCTGTGGCAGGATAATAAAGGACACTAATTTATCCTAGCAGTGACAGCTTTTGTCTTTTATTTTTTCCTTCTGGTCTGAATATCTGTGCCGACCGTTTCACGAGCCCTTTTGATAAAGAATTTCATAATACAGACTGAAGTCAGAGCTGTTTAGTGAAATGTAACCAATGTCTAAACGCTGCATCCTTTATAAACCAATGAAGACGTAATGTGTCTCATGTCTGACAAGTGCTATACATGCTGTACCTTCTCATTGTAAATCTCCAAGTAAGACATGCCAATGCTGTAGTCCCATCCTTCATGTTCATCCTTAGCATTGACCAGTTTGAAAACCTCTCCGACAGCGCGAGGGATGACACCAGGTTGCTCCGCACTTCCCAACATGGTGTGGGTTTTTCCTATGAAGAAGATCATGTGTGTTAGGAGAGAAAATGGGGGTAAATTAAATCTCTGAGATATTTTGCTAATAGTTAATGGCAAAGTTTTACACAAAGATAGAGCATTAAGTAGCACAAGCTCAGCTACTACCACACAAAATTTTAGGCCTTTTTTTTTTTTTTAAAGCTCTATTAAAATTAGTCCAGTGGTTCATGAGGTATTTTGCAAAGACACAAAAACATTGTTGTTTTTAGACAAACTGGTGCTTGAACGTACCAGCTCCTGTGGGGCCATAAGCAAACACACTGGCATTTTGTCCATTCAGTACGTGTGGTAAAATAATTTTCACTGAAGAGAGGAAAACCTCTTGCTGTGTCGTGTGCTCTCCATGGAAAACGTCGAAGCTGAAACGACAAAGAAACCACTGTTAATGTTTGACTGAAACCATTTGCCTTGTTGGGGTAGCGGGGCATCAAGACGGCCAGACTGACTGGTATTTTACGGTCTCTGTTGCATTTCTCCAGTTGATTATTTCCAGGTTCTGGGAGTCCAGGCCTCTCACACACGGTCCCTCGCCCTTCTCATCTTGTTTGCTCATGTAGGGTCGCAGACGAACCGCTACTCGAACCCGAGAGGTTTTCTTGTTTGCGCCATCGGACCCCGTCACACGCTGCGCCATCTTTCTTTTTCTCAGCTCCTCAAAACAAAGGCCTGGATAATCAAACGTATAGTTAGCATGCTGTGTTACACAAGAATTTATTCGTAGGATAAAAAGCAGCAAATGCACGCAAGCTGTTTTAAATAACACAATCTAGATTTTCAGTTACATTTCATTCAATTAGCTAATCTTTCAGCTGCTCCCCTCGGGGTCGCCACTCGCACGAAGACAACCATTAGCTACATATTAACGTTTTCAACCGGACATTGCTAGTTAAAGCTTTTCTTTGTTTATAAGTTTTATGAGCTTACCGATATCAAGAAGAAAAAAAAACTTCTTTATATAAAGATGAATTATCGCTCGGGATTCACTTTAAACCACGTCGTAAGCTCCATCTCCTCCTTTTAAATGGCGGTCGGTTGTACAACTTCTAACCGAACTCTTTTCAAACAGAGAGCGCTCTTACCGGAAATGGTTATGAACCAATCAGAACTCGCGTACACTCACGCGCCTTTTGCATATTTGTAGATTTGATAATGCAATCATTATAAGTATAAAGTTCTGCTACTTAGACCTGATGAAGCGACTTAGCGTAAAAAGTGAAGCCAAATACATTATTTATTGCTAAATGACATTAGTTGTTAATGCCTTGCGCATATAACAGGAAGTTGCGTCAGGTTAAGATCAAAACATCATTCGCGCTTTACATTTCAACGTTGGTTGGAAGAGGTCTTGAGAAGTAATTTCCGTGCAGGATTTTCTTGGCGTGAGGCGGTTTTTGGAGGGAGGAGGAGGATTTGTTTTCTGAAGTTGGTCTAAAGTTAAAATTTAAAAAATAAGAGGTAAAAGTGCATCTGGAGGAGAAGGTAGGCGCTGGACACAGTTGGCGGATTTGCATAAACTGAGCTCTGAATGCAACATTATGGCTTCCTCATCAGGAGGAAATAGTGGAGATGAAATGGAGTGGACAATGGCAAATACAGCAAAAATGAAAAGAATTCAAAGGAAAAGACAAGAAAGAGATAGGAGCTGGTCACAAGAAAGTGACTCAAGAATAGAAATGAGCAAAAAGTCAAAATCTAATCCCAGTCCAAGCAATCAAACACAGGTGAAATCAATCAGGGAAGAGGAACTGAAAGTAATCATAGAATTTAAACAAGAAGGAAAATGTTTTCATCCGATTAAACTAACTAAAGGCATAGAGGAAAAAATGGGAGAAATCAAGTTAGCCAGATTAATAAACAATAGAAAAGTTCTCATTCACGCAATAAATAAAAAACAGCAGGAGAAGATATTGAAAATGACAACACTGATGGGAGAAGAAATTAAAACATACATACCAGGTTCTAATATTAAACTAAAAGGGGTGATTTCAAGAGTTCCAGTAGAAATGACTGTAGAGGACATTAAACAAGAAATCAAAGGAGGAAAAGTAACAGGCGCAACAAGGATTAAAACCAAGAAAGATGGAATCATCAAAGAAACTATGTCGATTATACTACAGTTCGAAAACTCAGTACCGGAATGTGTGCAGCTGGGTTATGTAAATTTCAGGGTAAGAGAATACATTCCCAATCCAATAAGGTGCTATATATGCCAAAGAATGGGGCATGTTGCAAAAGAATGTAAAGGAAAAATAAGGTGTGCAAGATGTGGAGGTCCACATGAGTATGGTAAATGTGAAAAAGATTCGAAGGTTAAATGCTGTAATTGTGGAGGAGAGCACAGTGCTGCATATGGGGGATGTGTAGTTCAGAGAGAAGCAAGAGAAGCACAACGAATTAAAATAACCGAAAAAATAACATACGCAGAAGCATTGAAGAGGGTAAGAAAAGTAGAAACGAAAGAAATGAGAAATGTTGAAATAGATCAGAGATACTCGGAACAAAGTGCTAATAACCAACAGAGCACATCACTATTACAACCAATAGAACAAATCACAAATGTACAGTAGATGACAAATCAATGATTGTAGAAAAAGAAAAGTTTGTGGCATTCATATGTCATATTATCAACGTAACTATCCAAATGAAAAAGAAAAGTGATAAAATAAAAACAGTAGTAGCAGCTGCAGGAAAATTTTTGGACATGAAAGAATTACAAGCAGATCAGATTCATTCTCTGTTAAATTCAGTTGAATCATCAGGAAACAGCCAAGGAAAGGAATAGGATGGTCTTTCATATTCTACAATGGAATGCTAGGAGTATTATTGCTAATGGACAAGAACTTAAAAAAATTATTTATGAATTAAAAGTAGCTCCAGACATAATATGTATACAGGAAACATGGTTAAAACCCATTTTAGAATTTAAAATACAGGGCTACGATTCAGTAAGGAAAGACAGAACTGTCGGAAATAGAGGAGGAGGGTGTGCTACTTTTATTAAAAAAGGAATAGCATATAAGGAAATTGCCAACAACTCAGAATATGAATGTGTGATTATAGAAATATACAATCTAAAAAGTATTGGTCATCTTAGAGTAGTAAATTATTACAACCCATGTAAAACAATAGAAAAGGATATGTTTAAAGAATTAACTGGAAATATACTCAGGAAAGAAATATGGTGTGGAGACTTTAACGCATACAATAGCCTGTGGGGTAGTAGCACAACAGATTATAATGGCAATATAATAGAAGAATGGATGGATGACAGATCAATGGTTTGTTTGAATGATGGACAAGGAACAAGAGTTAATATCAATAATGGAACAGTTTCCTGTATAGATTTAACAATAGTATCAGATTCTCTAGTTAAATCATGTGAATGGGGTGTGAACGGAGACTCAACTCTGGGAAGCGATCACTTTACGATTAGTACAATGTTAAATGACAATTTGAAAAATCAAAACGAATTATCTGAAACTAGATGGTGCTTTAAGAAAGCTGATTGGGACAAGTTTAAGATAATTTGTGAGAAGTTCAACCATTTAGTAAATCTTACAGGAAATGTAGAAGAATGCAATGCCAAGGTAACAGACCACATTTTAGATGCAGCAAACTCTAGCATTCCTAAAGTAGTTATGAAAAGTAGGATAAAAATTGAACCTTGGTGGACGGAAGAATGCAGTAAAGCAATTAAAGAGAGAAATAAAGCTCTAAAAACATTACGGCAAAATATGAATTGCGGTAACCTTATAGATTTCAAAAGGAAAAGAGCAATAGCTCGTAGGATTATCAAGGAGGCAAAAAAGAAATCGTGGAGGGACTACTGTTCAACAATAGGATATAAAATAAATATTAATCAGGTTTGGTCGATGTTTAAAAAAATGAATGGAAAGAGAAGTGAAGTGAAAATTCCAGCACTAATTAAAAATAACGAAATAAAGGTTTCCAATAAAGATAAGGCGGATTCTCTGGGAGAGGCGTTTGTTAATATCAATAATGGGGATCATCTGGAACAAAAGCATAGGCAACAGAAGGAACTAAAACTCAAATCATTTAAAAAAGTAGGACAAAAGAAAAATAAATCAAGATTAACACTAGACGAACAACTAACAATGAAAGAAATTAAAATTGCATTAAAAGACACAAGAAATGCGGCGCCAGGAGAAGATAATATATGTTATATCATGTTAAAACATCTACCAGAAACAACTTTAAGTATAATATTGAAATTATTTAACAAAATATGGGAAGAAGGAACAATACCTCAGAGTTGGAAAAGAGCCATCATTTTACCATTTAATAAACCGGGGAAGGACCCAACAAACACAGACAATTATAGACCAATAGCATTGACATCTCACTTATGTAAATTGATGGAAAAAGTACTAATTAATAGATTGTTATATATCGTTGAAAAAAGAGAACTTGTCAATAAGTATCAGAGCGGATTTAGAACAGGTAGATCCACAGTGGATGCTCTAGTTAGAGTATGTTCAGATATTGAGAAAACTCTGAAAATGAAAGAAATTATGATTATAGTATTCTTGGATATTGAAAAAGCGTATGACTCAATGTGGAGAGAAGGACTTCTTATAAAATTGGAACAAATGGGAATAGATGGGAGGATGTACAACTGGATCTCCAGCTTCTTGAAGGAAAGGTCAATAAGAGTTAAAGTAGGGGGTGAACTATCAAGAGATTATAAAGTAGAAAACGGCACTCCTCAAGGAAGTGTAATTAGTCCAGTACTATTTAATTTAATGATTAACGACATGTTTGCAAATCTGGATAGGGGTATTAGATCTGCATTATATGCAGATGATGGAGCTATATGGATGAGGGGTAGAAATTCTCCTCATATAGCTAAATGTATAAGAAAAGCAATAAATCAGATAGAGAAATGGTCTTATGAATGGGGTTTTAAATTGTCAGTAAACAAAACCAACTACATGGTGATTACTCACAAAAAGAAGATCAATATTGGTCATTTCTTATTATATGGGCAACAGCTGAAAAGGGTTAATGAATTTAAATATTTAGGTATATGGTTAGACAGTGCGTATACATGGCAAACACATTTGAATGAGATGGAAACTAAGTGTAAAAAAGTAATAAATTTAATGAAAGCAGTGGCAGGAAATAATTGGGGAGCTGATAAAATATCTTTATTAAATATCTACAGAGCTCTAATGAGATCGACACTGGACTATGGATGTATAGTTTATGGAGCAGCTACAAAATCTAAACTTCAAAAATTAGATAGACTACAATCCAGAGCACTACGGGTGTGCACAGGAGCGATTAAAACGACACCCATAAATGCAATTCTTGTAGAAACAGGGGAAACGCCATTAGAAATGAGAAGAATAAAACTGTCACTATCATACTGGATCAAACTTAAAGGAAATAAAGAAGGAAATCCAGCAGCTATGACTATACAGAACTGTTGGGAGTACGACAAATATCAAGGAAGAGGATTTGGATGGAAAATAAATAAATTAGCAGAAATTTATGGGATAGAAAATATAGAATTTGCTAGGAGTAATCCAAAAAGTGTTATATCACCCTGGCTAATCCCTGAAAGTAAAGTGGACAAAAAATTACTAGAATGGAAAAAAGAATGGAAAGGTAATGAAATAGGGGTGAAATCTAGCAGATATATTAAAGAAAATTATTCCAATTACTTAGAAATCTATACAGATGGATCAAAAAACGATCAGGGAAGGGTGGGAATAGGAGTCTTCATACCAGAATTTGAAGTTAGTATTATCAAAAGAATTACAGATCACCTTTCAGTGTTCACGGCTGAGATGGTGGCAGTTATTTTTAGTTTGGAATGGATTGAGGAGGTTAGACCAGATAGAGTGGCAATATTCACAGATTCAAAAGCGGTAATAGAAAGTATAAAGTCAAACGGAAACAATAGGAAAGATCTCATTTTAGAAATTCAACATGCATTATTTAGGTTGCACAGAGGAGGAATAGATGTGCATTTTTGTTGGGTGCCAGCACATGAAGGGGTGGAAGGGAATGAAAGGGCGGATGATCTTGCCAAGGCAGCGTTGAAAAGAGAAATAACAGCTAATATTCCATTAGGGAAAGGAGAGGGTAAATCAATTATTAAAAGACAAGAACTAAATAAATGGCAAAAGAGATGGAATGAGGACAAGAAAGGAAGAAAATTATTCAGGATTCAAAAATCAGTTAAAATAACAACGTGTAGAGAAAGAAGTAGAAGAGAGGAGGTGATACTTATGAGACTGAGGGTGGGGCACACATTCCTTAATGACACAATGTTCATATTGGGGAAAAGGAATAACAATAGATGCGAGGAATGTGGGGAAACAGAAAGTGTGGAACATGTATTGATGGATTGCATTAAATATACGGAAGAAAGGGAGAGACTGAAAAGAAAAGTCAAAGAGACAGGGAGAGCTTGGAGTTTAGGAGGAATTTTAGGAAATGAAGGGGAGAAGGATAAGATAAAAGACGTCAGAAAAGCATTGGTTACATATTTGAAAAACATTAACATAAAAAAAAGAATTTAGGGACAGAGGTCATGTGTTGCACACTCTAGCTCAGTAGGTGGCGGTATGCACCTGAAAGCAGTTTGCAATCCGCCAATAAATTAAAAGAAGAAGAAGAAGAAGAAGAGCCCAGCAGAACCAAGCAAATCGTCCTGTCAAAATGGCGCTATGTTTATGTCACAGCCTAATCTTTTATTACGCTTAGCTAGACTTCTAAAGAGTTACGATGATCGTATCGCACGGAAAATAATTCAAGACAAGCATTTAACGGCACTAACGGACCAGGACAAACCGGTAATAACAAAGGCACGCATGTTCGTTTTTTATATTGACAAAGCTAGCAGCTAGGCCTGGCATATTAAGCTAATGAAAATAAAAACATGCTTCCTTCTTACTGCTCATCATTAACTGTAACAGCTACAATTTGACTGTTTATATTGTAGGTTTAAGTTAGTTATTAGTTAAGACCTTTTATGTGTACCACCATTAATAGATTGTAGTTTTCTAATGGCTCATAAAAACATGCTTCTGTTGCACAGATCCGTGGCTAAGTTCCCCAGCAGCAGGCAGGATGCAGGCTGAAGTCTCAGACTCTTCCCTCAGAGAGGGCATTGAGGCTCTTGGAGTGACGGACTCAGACAAACCTGCTGCAAGGAAAGAAGAAGAGAGCGTCACGGAGCAACAGGACACAGAGATGACAGCTGTCACAGAGGAGGACCCAGCTGCCAAGGAACAAACAGGTAGACAAACAAAACAGTTTCATCAGGTGTCCGAGGAGTGTTGTCAGTAATTGTTGTGTGGTTTCTTGACATATATTCGTATACATATATGGAAAATTTAGGAACCCTGTAAATAGGTGTTTGGCAGAACTTGTATGCATAACTTAACCTGTACTTCACGTTGGATTTAACTGTGCTGTTGCATCTGAAGGAGTGAGCAACATGTTAGAACGCACAAGTCAAAAGGACCAAACTGAAACGTGCACACAGCTTGATTTTCCACATTTATCACACTTAAGATCACATCAGAAATACTAAGTCTACTACGAAGATTAGTAGACTAAGACTTTATTGTGTGTTGCCATATTGGTCTGGATAGTGTTTGTCATGAAGCTTTGAGATTCACTAGACACTGCTATAGCTATAAGCTCATGTAGGAAGATCTTGGATGGACTTATCCTATAGCTGTAATAAAAACACAACAGCTTGTGCACATAATTGTGTAATTATTATCCAATGTGGACAAAGTCTGCATATAAAGTCTGCAGTCTTTGCACTGACTTTTTCCATTTATTCAGAAGACAATGTAAAACAGATGGCATTTTTTTTTTTCTCAGATGACAACACAGAGACGGTGGGAGGAGAGACACAGAAGGATGATCCTCAGGAAGTCACAGAGGGGGACGCTGAAGGAGGGAAGCAGGCTGCTGAAGTGGAGGATGAGTGGGAGCTTCTGTACAGCGACGAGGAAATGGAGGATCCCAAGAACTGGATGCCTCCCCCTTCTGAGATCAAAAGACTCTATGAGATCCTCGCCAAAGGGGAGATGTTGGAGTTGAACTTTGTGCCCCTCCCCAGAAGACCCCCCACGCCTGAACACACCCCTTCGCCTGAGAGAGATGAAGAGGAGGAGGCCGCAAAAGAAAGGGAGAGACTAGAGAAGGAATGCAAGTCAGTAGATCTCCTTGGCTCCATGTCTTCTCTCCTGAATTATTTTTGATTCATTTGAAATAGACTCGTTCTATTTTCCAGACCGCTGTCGCCGACTGAGTTCGACTTCAGTGAGGAGCAAACTCAAACCACTCCGAAAAACACCTTCATCAACAGGCGCAGAACACCAGGTGGGTCCGCAGATACTGCGAAAATCCAGCATGAACAATGAGACTTTGCTGAAATTATCTAAAGAGGCTGAAACTGAAAATTTTAATTTAAAAGAAGCAGAACACTACAAGCTAAAAGACAATGCTAGCTAAAAGTTAAATGAGGCAGAATACTAGCTAAGACCTAGAATAAGGAAAATGCTAACATAAAAATGCGGAACACTAACTGAAAACAAGGTAAAACACCAAATACTATAAGTTAAAAGAGGCAAAGCAGTAGCTAAAAGGTGGAACACAAGGTAAAAGAAGCAACAATGTGGTTAAAAACTAAAAGTAGTTAAGTTCTAGGTCAAAAGAACAAAAGGTTAGATGCTAAAAGTAGTAAACACTAGCTAAAAGCAAGATGTGATTAGCTAAAAGTAGCATAAGATGACGACAACTGAAGCCAGTTTGCTGAAGCAGATATAAATGAGAACATTTTAGAAGATATAGAGATTCCTGTGTATTTCTACATAACAGAAAAATGTTACTGGTAAGTATTAAAAAAAAAAAAGTTACAAAATCAAAAGCCAGTCCCCTGAATGAGCTGAAGATTTTCATATTTATGGTCTAAAATAGAACAAAGATTGTTCTATTTGTTGTTCTGGTTAGATTGCAAAAACTTGTGTGGAAAAATTCAACAGGAAAAAAGCAAAAGCATGCGAGCTGGATCAGCATTCAGACAATAAATATCTCCAGCATCATTTGAAGTTCCTCTCTGCACTTGCTGCTTGTATTTATTTTGTATTTATTATTTTTTATTTTTTTTGGGGGGGTTCAGATAAAAAAGCGTCCAAATAGTTTGATACAGTAACCTGTTTGCACTCGTTTTTCAGGGTCTTCAGCTCGCTCCTCTGTAAAACGGGAAGCTCGTCTGGACAAAGTGCTGTCGGACATGAAGCGGCACCGCAAAATCGAGCAGCACATCCTGCGCACGGGCCGAGATCTCTTCAAGAGCGATAAGAAGCTGGAGGAAGCCCTTTCCCCAAACAGCCAGAAGGAGCGGGAGAAGGAGCGGGAGCGAGACAGCAACCCCAACACCATCTTCTCCCCGAGACAGAGGAGATACTGAAGTATTCAGAGACCAGGACTTGGCCAAATGCAACAGAAACCTTAACAAGGCTCTCAAAAGACTTTACATTTTTTAACACAAGAAGTTTTCTATGTTGGGTTTTTTTTTTTTGTCTTTTATATGATTGAAATAAAAATTTTCATCCTAAAGAATGTTAGCTGATGTTTCAGTTTGTGCAGTGGCTGCTGGTTTTTCATGATTTTAAGCAAAATAATGAATGGGCTTAAAATACACACTGTCAGCTTCAATTTTAGTAAGAACCTGAAGTACAAAAGTTTTATCATTAAATGTTTAATTTGGTTAAAATAGCACCTTTTCTCCATAACAACCAGAATTCACCATAGAACAAGAATTACTGCCACTTGTATTTGTAGCATTTAAAGTTTTACAGTAAAAAATTGGTTAGTTAAATCTCAGTCTGGCGCCCCCTGGTGGCGTTTCTGATAAGAGCAACATTTCGAGCCCCTGTCTGTCGTGTGAGCAAAATACCTCATAAACCAGTGGAAGGATTTAAATGAAACTCTTAAAAGGTCATCAGTCAATATATCTACAACTGATTTACCTTTCAAGATAGCCACCACAGCCAAATGAGCTCAGAAAGCACAAAAATGGCTTTAATTCTTTAATTTACAGAAACTGAGCTAGAATGGTAATGCTCGCTGAGACCTATCCTTAAACTCTTGAGCTCTGTCCATCTGTTTGTTAGCAAAATATCTCATGAATCAGTGTGCACTTTAATGAAACTTCAGAACGAATGCACATCTACAACGATTAACTTTTACAATGATCCCAATTTAAGATGGTTGCCACAGCTAATAGACCTCAACATAAAGAAAGGCTGTACTTTATTTGATTTTAAAGAGGATTTATCTAAAATTTATTTTAAACTTTGGCGTGGTAGTATCTGACAGTCATTCACAACACACAACACAGATCATGCTGTATATCTCAATATGACATTGTAGATAATATTAATTTCAAGGCTTGACCAGAAGAGTTCAAACATTTGAGCCAACCCCATTCAACACATTTCTCTTTAGGAGACACGTGAATGGCTATAATTCAGCCAATTTTACAACTACTGAGTTAACATTCAGTGTGGTAGTAGCCGAGTCGTCCTCAACATACAGTCTGAGTGCTAACATCTCACAAGATCCTGCATGAGATCGCACATAACTTCCTTCTCATTCTAAAATAACCTTAGTTTAAAGCTCTGGTATGGAAAGGCTGCAGTCAATGTGTTTAAAGCAGGGGTCTGCAACGTACGGCTCTGGAGCCACATGCGGCTTTTTGGTTTGTCCACAGCGGCTCTTTCAAGCTTTGACCAAAACTAACATAAAACTGAATGTTATTGGTTGTTATAACAACTAAAATGGCTAGTTTAAGCAAGTTTCCTGTAATTTATTTTGCAAATATGTGAATACTAGAAATATTACAAGGAGTAAAACATACTTTCACTTTAGGCTTTATTTCTTTAAAGTAGGATACTTAATTTTTCTAAAATAAAAAAAAGAAAATCTCATAGGCCTGCATAGTTTGTTTACGATGGCACGATGGAGTATTAGGGCAACGCTAAGAAAAAAAATTACATTATGAGAAAAAGTCATATTACAAAAATAAATTTGTACGAGAATAAAGACGAAATATTACGAAAATAAAGTTGTAATATTACGAGAATAAACTTGTAATATGTTCCTTGGTCGGCTCTCACCTGCTGTGGACAACCTCCAATGTGAGTCACTGTGTTTATGAAGTAGTCTGCGATCACTTTTGGGTCACTGTTTGTGAAATATGCCTCCATCCACATTATGTGACGACTAAATCCATCAATGCAGCCATTAATTGTAATACCATACGGCTTCAGTTTATCATAAGAATCCATACGCCACAATACGTTGGGCCCCAGCTATTGTACTGCTGACGTCAACATTCATCACTTTACTGCAGTAAGGCTACTTTTTTGTGTTGGAGTTCTGATAATATTATGACTTTATTCTGGTAATATTACGAGTTTATTCTAATAATATTAAGACTTTATTCTCATATCATTTCAACATTATTCTCGTACAACTATTTTCGTAATACTATGACTTTATTCTCATAATATTTTATCATTATTCTAGTATGACTTTATTCTCATAACATTACAAATTTATTATCATATTTCAATATTATTTTCGTACAACTTTATTCTCATATTTTGACATTCTCGTACAAATTTATTCTCGTAATACGACTTTACTATCATATTACAAATTTATTCTCATGCCGGCATTCTTGTACAACTTTATTCTCGTAATATTACGACTTTATTCTCATAATATTTTGACATTATTCTCGTACGACTTTATTCTCATAATTGACTAATTTATTCTCATATGTTGGCATTCTCATACACCTTTATTCTTGTAATACTACTTTATTCTCATAATATTTCAACATTATTCTGGTATGGCTTTATTCTAGTAATTTACAAATTTATTATCATATTTCGACATTATTCTCATAATATTAAGACCATATTCTCGTAATACTACATTATCCTATTTGGGGAGTGGTGGCGCAGAGGTTAGAGAGGTGGGCCTGTGATCCGAAGATCGCCGGTTCACGCCCCGGCCCCGACAACATCAAAACTGTGGGTGGGTGAAATACCCACACTTGCCCCCACCCTCATTCGCCCCACTCTGGGCCCATGAGCAAGGCCCTTAACCCCCACCATGTGCTCCCTAAACAGGTCTCTCTTGAAAATGAGTTCTCGTGGCTCAATGAGACTAACCTGTATAAATAAAGGCTAAATGAAAAAAAAAAAAAATGAAAAAATCCTCGTAATATTTCAACAATCTCGTACGACTTTATTCTCTTAATACTACTTTATTCTAATAATATTTCGACATTATTTTTGTACAACTTTATTCTTGTAAACTACAACTTTATTCTCGTAATATTTGGACATTATTCTCATACAACTTTATTCTTGTAATATTACATGTCGTACAACTTTATTTTCGTAATACTATAACTTTATTCTCGTTCATAATGCAATTTTTTTCTTAGCATGGCCTTAATACTCCTTTGTAATAGTTTTAGTCTTTAGAATTTGGGCAAAAACTATATATTTTTTCCTTCTTTACAAGAATCTCATCTTTTATCTCGTCTTAAAATGTAAAACTATCAATAAATTTTAAAATCATTAGATATTTTTATAGTCTTATAAAGTCACCCCTACTGGGCAGAAAAGCGCCCTCCGACAACCTTAACGTGGTCCGCGGGCCACCACTTGAGAATGTAGCAGGTATTGCGGCACGTTTAATGTAGTGATCAAAGGGTCAGAAATGTAAAGGTTGCAGACACCTGGTTTAAAGTGATATGAAAAGGTAATATACTCAAAATGGACTACAGAAGTAAAAAAAAAAGAGACAAGCAGGCTCAGGACAGAGAAGTATATTGTAGCTAAGTTTGAGTAACAATACAGCCTTCACATAAGGCTCAGAAGCATAGAGTATACATATGCATAAATATGCATTCAAATCCACAAACCAAATAAATTAATAAATAAATAAATACTAACAAATAAATAACAAGCATTTGTGGAATATACAGTACATCAGTTGAAATGTTCCAGTATTGTCAAGAAGCAGTACCTTTATGGATCTGGGGAACAGGGGGTGGGGTGGATGTTCTGTGCTGGACATGCCCACAGCTGCTCAGATGCTACAGCACACATTAAACCCTCTTCAGTGGTTTCTGAGCCGTTTTAGGAGTTTTTTTTCCCGTTCTCACTAAACCAGTGTCCAGAACACTGTAGCTGCATGAACATAAAGTGACAAAAGTGAGCCAGTTTGTTCACAAGTGCTCCAACAACAGCTTAACGATCTGGGGCATTACCTGAAAAAAAAAAAAGGTTTAAATCATGAACTCTACAGATAGAAAATTAACATAAAAACAAACTAGACAAAAGTGCTGCATGTCAGTCACAAGGAAATGCCCTCCTGCAAGATAAATGTACACTTTTGGTTTTCTTTAAACATCAATGTTAAAAGTTTCCGAACAAAAACAACGAAAAATACATCTTATGAATATCCCTTTGTGAAAATCGTCCCGTCAAGCAAACTGATATTGTGAGATTTACATCAGCACCAAACTAAAACATAAAAACAAAACCACTGTAGGGTTTGGCGTGAGTACTCATGTGCAGAACTTTGTATGAAAAAGGAAAAAAAAAAAGAAGTGATATCAGTGAATGGAATGAATTTAAATCTACATATAAAACAAGAACTAAACCTTTCTGGGTTAGTTTGCATACACTACACTGTAAAACGTCGTCTTAAATCTTAACTGGCATCGTTTTAAAAAGTCTATAATCATCACATGCAGAGGTTTGTGACAGCTGTAGTAAAAAAAAAAAAGAAAGAAAAAAAAAGGATAAAACTCTTCAAGACCCAAGGCTTAAATTTATGAGAAAAAAGGGGACGTTTCTTTGACATTAAAGTTGAAAATTAACAAGCCTGTAAAACAGTTCAGCTTCATTTTGTACGGTGGGACCAACCTGGCTGCATCACTGAGCTCCTATTGCTCCTAAAACTTGAAAGATTTCCTCACAAATTGTAATTTTTTTTTAAATCCATCCTTTAAATAAATAAATAAGAATAAAAATAATAATAATTTTCTTTCTTTTTCTCTCTTTTTTTGTGTAACCACAGTGGCCCAATACTTTTTTGGACAATACATAAATAAATAAACTCCCAAGTGACGTAATACTGACGTGAAAAGGAAAATTTTACATCCGCTATGTACAACCACCACATTTGACTGTTTTAACAAGTCCTCTCTTCCTCTCAAAAACAATAAACACATAAATAAAAATGTAGAAATAAATAAAATAAAAAAGGCAAAAAATAAGGAAACGGGATAAGGCAGCAGAATACAGTATCATGAAGGTATCTCCCTATTAAAGATGAGTCAGTCTGCAGGTTGGTTACATTTTGTTAGAGTGACAGTGACTACATAGAGGATACAGATAATAAACACTAACAAGTCAAAATACTGCTTAGCTGGGATATTTTTGTTTCTTTTCTTTTTTTTGAGTTGAATCTAAACTGAATCAGGCCGTTCATCTACAGCAAACATACCAACGTACAATATAATACATTCCTATTTTCCTGCTCTCCCTGTACAATGAGGCAGAGAGGACTGTGTTTCATCTACATGAGGGGAATAGCCTTCAACGCTCGCTCAAAACCCAGGCGAGCTCCTCTCAGGTCAGAGCATGTTCCTATCTTTCACAGTGCCTGATGACATCGTAAATACTGGGCGCCGCTAACACGCCATTTGGTTCCGACAAACTAAGAAGCTGAAGTCAGAGGAGCCTTTTAGTTGTTCACCGGCTACAAACACTTCAGCACAATCTGAGGTCATCGTCTGAACTTTTGTTTTTTTTTAAGTCTTGCTTTCCTTTGTACACACTTGTTGATACATTCGCCCTCCTTCCCTCCCCTCCTTGCTGCTCGTCTCAGTGAGTGGTCAGCTCGGGCTCTGTGGAGCGCGTGCTGTAGCCGTTGGCGGGCTGTGGCGGCGTGCTGCTGTCCGTCTGCTCCTTAGCGGAGGCCGTGCGCGGCCTCTGAGAACGGGAGGTGCCCATGAACAATCGCAGGGCGCCCCTGCAGATGAGCGAGAACCAGTAGAGCTGGGGCGCCATGAGCAAAGCGGCGCCGAGGTTACAGTGCCATGGCACCGTCAGAGGAACCATGTGGAAGGGAATCGATGCGTACCTGTACACAAAAAGGATGGAACGTCGTAAATAAATCGTTGCCACCTTAGTGTCACAATTATGACCCACCACCAAAGAAAGTGAGAAAGTAATCACTGAATGTATAAATGACTGCATTCAAGATGGCCGCCACAGCTAATTGACAGTAGCAAACAGTTGTATCGACAGATGGAGGTAAAATTTGGTGTGGTAGTATCTGAAAGTCATTCTCAACACATACTTTGAGCATTAACACATCTCACAAGATCACGCCCATTATTTACAAAACCAGAATTTCTCATTATGACAATTTTAGTTCAGAACTCTGGCATTAAAGATGGCGGGCGATTTCTTCCAGGAATACCAGGCAGGTTCAAGTAGCTGTGGAAGTTACCGACCTCGAACAGAGGAGAGACATACCTTCCATATGCGTAGTAGAGGTAAGGGAAGAGTAGGACTCGAAAGATGAAAAAAGTGATCAGCATAAGAGCCCCATTCACTTTGTGCAGCAGTGTGTGTTGCTGTTTGTACTGAGTGGGGAAAAACAGAGAGAGGGGAGAAAGAAAGGCGAGCAGTACAGTTTCGTGAAGCCAACTATGTTAATCTTTATTATTATTATTATTATTAGGGATGCACGATATTATCGGCGTGGTATTGGTATCGGTTGATATTAGCGATAAAGTTAAATATCGGCCATTCCATCAAAATAACTCACTACCACGTATTGAGCTTCTGTTGTAAGTTAATTTTTTTAATTTAAGAAACTGTCAAGTATATCTATTAAAGCACTAATACTTTTGCATTTTTTCACTTGTCGCTTGTGAACAGTGAGTTATGACAATGTACAAATTTGCACCATTCGAGTGTTGTCATTGTGTTAGAGATTGTAAATGTCATGAATAAATTTGACATTAAACATAATCCAAGTTGAAGTGTTGCATCATTTTCAGCCCCTTTTTGGCATCTGCATTTGGCAGCAGGTTAAACTGACAAAGACCATGTAGAATAATGTAGTATTTTAATTCCACAACAGAGAAAGATATGTAGTCTCTGTAAGTAGGTTTAGGATAAAATTAAAAAAAAAATAATAATAATCAGTATTGGTATCGATTATCGGCCAAATAAGTTTTAACATACTTGCATATCAGATATCGGACATAAATCCAATATCGTGCATCCCTAATTATTATTGTCAGAAAGTTAATGTTAACACGGTTATTATATTCCACACTATCTGCATCGACTAAAAGAGGGGTGGAAGGAGGGCAGAGTTCAGGTCTCGATTTCTTGAAAGCTGCAGCTGGACAGTTTTAAAATTATTCTCATTTCAGTTTAATTTTGGAGAAAAAAAAATCTTGCATCTGCAAGACAACAGCTCTACATTTTCCTCAGGTTTATTTATTATTGTCAAATTTCAAAATGAACCATTATCGCCTCAAAAATTCTTGTTTCGCCCTCCATTTTATTTTATTTTATTTTATTTATGACAGCTTAGTCTAGACGTTAGCTCATCAGTTCACACAAAATTTAACTATTTCTCCAAACGGAGGATGTTCAAAAAGTTATCTACGACAGGTAACATATTAACTGCTCATAGTTTTCCACAGAACCCCACTTTAAAAGATGTGAAAAAGCTGCATGCTGGGAAATGACCAGAAATATCCTCTCCAACAAATTAAAAGTATGAAAAACTAGGGTAAATGCAGAAGATCTTTAGTAAGAGACATGCCCATGCAAAAATAATCTTTAGAAATTTTCTGTCAGGCAGAAGTGAGACACTTACCTGGATGAGGATTTTTCCTAAGCAGACAGACGGGGTGCTGAGTTCAGCCATGAACATGATTCCCTGGAAATAATCTCCCTTTCCTTGCCGCCAAAACTAGGAAAAAAAATTACAATTTGACACGTCTTTAAATAACGTGACTGAAGTTTGTGACTTTTACACTTCTCAAAATATTTAAACTTTATTTTAATACTGCAAATTGCCTAAAATTCCCTCAAACATTGCTCTCGTTGACATTTGTTTCTGCAAACATGATTTATTTTTGTCTTCTTATGCAACTTTTAGCTTCTAGCTACTGTTTAGCTAATTTTAGATTTTAACTAGGCCTGTCACGATAACACATTTTGCTGGGCGATTAATTGTCTCAGAAATTATTGCGATAAACGATTTTTAATATTTTTTATTTGGCAATAATTAGTAATTATTGTCAAATTTAAGAAGAAATGTTGGTTTATTTGTTTTGTATGTAGTACCTTATTTGACCACTGGATGGCAGTATAAGACTGTTTGAACTGAAGGATGGATAGTGAGGGAGCGAGCAGCGTGTCTCGTTAAGAAAAATGGGAGGGAGGCCCCTTGACGTGATATGGGCTGTCTCGCTTTGGTTCTCAAAATGGCGGATGCTTATTGTGGTTTGAGCTCTTTAGCATAGCATGTCACATAAAGCTTTTAATAAAAAATCAGTAAACAAGTTCTCAGCTTCTTTTTGCAGAGAAAAACAACTTTTTACACGAAGGCACGGGTTTCAACCGTGGATCTTAGACAAGAGTTTATTTTCCAAGGTCGGCCTGTTAGCTTAGCTCGTAGCTTAGCTTCTCAGCTTAGCTGCATTAAACGATCCAAAAACATGATTCTGGACGGTTCAATGGATTTTAAAGAGAAAGGGAGGGGTCAGTGAAGAGCACCAGAACTGAGCCTTTTGTCATCCAGTGTCTTCAGTAGAAAGAGACAGACACGAAGAAACAATAAAGCTGATAAATGAAAATGAGGTTGATAATTTTCATTTATCATGTGATTAATTGATTTATTGTTTATTGCGACAGGCCTAATTTTAACAACTTGTTTCAAACTGTTCAAGTAGTTTTCAGCACTCAGTGTTCATTCTGCATGATCACACAAAAATGTTATTTCTTCAGTTACACTTTTTTACTTCTAGGATTAAAAAAAATAAAAAAAATAAAAAAACATATACCCCCCTCCCCTACAACCGGGGTAGGGGGGTATTTTATTTAGATTCATATGTCAGTACTGCATTATTCTTGCCTCACTCAAATCTCAGCTAAACAAACAAAACAAAAACTCAGCGTGTGGCAGTTACCACAGACACGGGGAAGCAGACGGTGACCATGACAACGTGGTGCAGCACCATGAGGAACTCGCGACGCAGGTAGCTGGTCAGCGCTGAGCTCATGTGCCGGGGGGCGGCTGAGGCCTCCTCGTGCCCTTTGACCCGCAGCTTGTACCAGTAGCACATAAACATTGCGTAGATGTCGTACACGAAGTAGGGAACAGCAAACATGATGTAAGTGCTGGTCAGCCAGTGCCTGTGCAGAAAAGAAGACTTTTAATAACTCTAATTTTGAACAAGTATCAAAGGAATTCCCTCAGACCCAGAAAACAGTGTCTCTAAACTCACGACGGGCTGAAACACTGTAGCTACAACTGTCTTTGAATCCTTCAAGGAATGCTGGTTTCATTAATTCAGTTATTTGTTTAAAGTGAGATTTTTAATGACAAGAAATCTAGACATTAACTTGCTGATGTCTTGAAAACATAAATCCCATCAGCCGCTATGTTCCCCAACAGGAAACAGGAGGCTGGTGATAAAATGAAACAAAATAACTTACTGGTCCTCAATGATGTCCTCACAGGAAGAAGCAATGATGTAGCCAGCTGACGAAGCCATTACTGCCTGAATAGATGACACCAACCTTGATGATGGAACAAAATTTAAAAAAATTAAAAAAAGATGAGAAGAAATGTATTTCCCATCAATTAATGAGTGAACAGTTTTGTGTTGTCTGGTTTATTGAGAAAGTTGTAGTACTTTTAGTCTTTTGTGTATAAACAACAATATTAACGATACTTAACTAAATCCAGCCAAAATATTATAAATATCGATGAAGAGGATGAACAATTTTAATGACACGTGACCAAAGACGCACTAATAAACAAAGTAAGAAGAATTCAGGTGGTCTAACCTGGCCGATACAATGACTGCATCTCCTTCGCTCCATCTCAGTGCCGGGATGGACTTCAGGCATTGTTTGGACAGAAGGAAAAGGCCCGGAAAGAACACGGACCCAGCAGCCAATATGATCAGCATGGTCCTCGGCGAGCTGACTCAAAGAGACAAAAAGTTCAGCAGACAATCTGGTCCTTGAGATCTGTCGCTCTCCTCTCTCTTCCCTGAAAATAACAGGACAAAAGTGGGTAAATGTTTACATAGATGTGAGCACCGGTAACTCCCTCGTGTTTCCATTCGGCTGCAGTTACTGAGATAACAAAAAAAACAACTATCTGACTCAAACACACATGGCTATACATTAAGCTAACTTCACCAAGTGAGCTACATTTGGTTTAGGACAGCATGCAAAACAAAATGTATCTGTTTTTTATTACTTGAACCACAGGCTAGATTTAAATTAACAACTTTGGGTGTCAACCAACATAAAAAAGGCTACAACTCAGTCAGGTTTTTCACATAGTGAGCTAAATCCTCACAACATATCATGAGATAGAGCAAAATATAATTTACAAGCATTGAATCTTAGTCTATTTTGTTTCAACAGCCACAGTGTCTGCATCATGAAGTCAACCTTCTCTGCATATCAAAGCTAAATGTGTGTCAGGCAGCTGAAGCTTGGCATAAGTTGGGTCACAGCAGCAGATCTTTAAAGGAATGACTGAGAAAAGAAAAAAAAAGATTAAGATGCTGGAGTGGTTCAGTCAAAGTCCAGACCTCAACCTGATTATCAAACCTTAAGAGAGCTAAACAAATGTTAATAAACTTGCATGATTTGAAGCAATCTAAAGAAGAATGGTCCAAGAATGTCTCCACAACAGACTGATATGACATACAATTATTTAAAGTTAATTATAGGTTGTAATTATTTCATAGTATCTGCATTTTAGTTATAAGAGATATAAGCTGAAAATGTAGTCCATGTCCTGTATCCCAGCGGACACCAGATTTTTTAGCTTCTGAACCCCAAAGTAACAGAACAACTAACTTGTAACCCCAAATATCCTTGGTTGAACTACACAAACATTGCTAGAAAAAGTAAATAAAAAATATAATGAAAACAGATTAAACTTAAACTCATATTACATCTATTCATTTTTTTTTTGTAATTATTTTAGTTAACATATGCTAGTAGAAATATATATTTTTTAATTTTGGTTTGATTTCAGGAGATCATCTCAGGACCCCAACAATGGGAACCACACTGGGGTATCCAGTCTTTAAAGGATTTATTTTCTTGACTTTCAGATACGGTTCACCCGTTTTTGTTTGTGTCCTTCATCCGTTTAGTGTCCTTACATTTCAATAACTTTGAAATTTAAGGCCAAAAAATAAAAAGTTTTTAATGTGAAGTAGTGTAATCATTAGCATTTTACAGATACAATTAGAAGCAGGAAGAGACTATTTGAATTTCTAGTTTCAGTTATTAGAAGACAATTCTAAAGGATGGTTTATTGCATTTCATGCCAGAGTTTTGAACAAAGATCATGTTGAGAAATGAGTTTTAGTCGTTTTGGTCAAACCTTGTAAAGTATATGAATGTTAGCAATCAAAGTATATGTTGAAGGCTACTGTGAGCTACTACCACAACATGTGTTAGCTCAATATCTATAAAACTGACTGAGTTACAGCCACTTCTGTATTCATTAGGTTGATTAGCGGTGGGGGCCATCTCAGATTTGGTTGACTCCAAAAGTTATTCAGTTCTAGATGTACATCCAGTGATTACTGGGGATTTCATTAATTACATCCAATGGTTCATGAGAGGTGGCACGGTGGGACAGTTGGTAGAGCTGCAGTCTCTCAGCGAGAAGGTCGTCGGATCAAATCCCAGCCGGGGGGACTTTTCTGGGTGATGTTTGCATGTTCTCTCTGTGCATGTGTGGTTTTTCTCCGGTACTCCGGTTTCCTCCCACAAACTAAAAACATGTATGTTGGGCTAATTGGTAACTAAATTGTCCCTAAGTGAGAGTGAATGGTTGATTGTCTCGATGTGTCCCTGTGATGGACTGGAGACCTGTCCACGGTGTCCCACACCTCTCGCACAATTACTGCTGGACATGGGCACGACACGAAGACAAAGAAGCGAGTAGATGATGAATGTTTCATGAGGTATTTTGCTAACAGGCAACCTGGATTGACAATGTGTTTGTGTTTAATTATCAAAAAACTAACAAAAAAACAATTTGAAAATTTAGTAAAAAGACAGGATGGATGGAATAAAATATTTTACTTGGTAAAAATATACTAATAAAAACTTCAAAGAGCCAACAAAAGTACTGCTCTAGACCACTTTAGCTCTTTGTACAGAAAAATAAAATAAACTTTTCTCTAATATTGTATGCATTTCCATCTGTCAATGTCAACTGTTCATGTCTGCTTTTCTTTTACAAGTGAAATAATATGCGCTTGCTTTTTTTTTTTTTTTAACCTGGACAGCAGATTAATGATAAAAATAACAGATTAAAACATAAGCAGGACCTAAAGCCGTTTATTTTATACAGAGGGTATGTTTGCTGACCACGGTGACATGAACGGCAAATCAAAGTCCCAGTTGGAGCATCATCCATCTCAGGCTGGTTTCCACTTTTCCATTTCTTCCCTCGTCCATGTGCTGGTTTATACTTTGCTTACAACAGAAAACACTGGCTGACTCATTAAAAAGTTCAAGTCCATTAGCGAAATACGCAATGCGCTATTTTAAAATCGTCGAAAGTATCGACACAGCAAGGTCTGCCGGGGCTCATTGTTCCTGCAAACAACGCTAGCTAATGTCACCTGTCAGGGAGGAGGACGCTCTTCTGGGTCGCTTACAAAACAACACACAGCGGATATATGTTAACACGCCGCTTATTGATATTTATCGTGTTTAAATGTAAGCATAGCGTTAGCCTGAGCAGCTTGGCTCAACTGCAACATGTTTGCGGCTGTTAGCTTGTAGCATTCAGCTGTAGCAACTGACCGCTAGCGTTAGCTAACAGATCAGTCTGCACATGTTCAGAGGAGAATAAGAAAAGCAACAATTACCCTCGACGACTCTGCAGAGTCCAGTCAGCGGCCAGTCGAAGGTCGTGTCCTGCGTGCAGCGTTTAAAGATACCCCAGGGCTCTCAGCCTCGATGCTCCGCATCTTTATGTGGCCGCTTGAATGTTTGAAGGGTAGCAGCAGCGCGAGCTAACGCCAGCTAACTTTGATCCAAATCGGTGTCTGCGAAACGTCGGCGACTGGCGTCCGAGCCAGTCGGCGTAAACAAATGGCGTTATTTAAATAAAGCAGGCGAAAACGGCTGAAGGACGAGGGCACGCTGTGATCCAGATGTGGAGGTATTGTTGGCGGATGTCCTCGCCTCTGTCTCTCGCCACAGCAGCAGCAAATACAGATGCACCGTTGACTCAACGCTGAGGACTGCTGCGCCAGCCCGTTATTTAAGGCAGTCCGTTGTATCACATAATGAAGTCACACAGTAATTAGTTTGAGATAGGGCCCGGACAGGAGTGCTGTAGTGTAATTCTTAGTGAAAACTGTGACTGCTGAGTGTTTAATGATTTTTTTAAAGGCGAGAGTGAGTTATCAATAATTGAATTTCAAGTTCAAGTAGGTTTATTGTCATTTCACCGCATGTGGTACATGAGGTGGAACAAAAATTAACTTTTCGTTCTTTAACTTTCAAAAGTTCAAACTTTAAACGTTTGTTAAAATATTGCTCAAAGAAGACACACAAAAAGCAAGACAAATGGGAGAAAAAAATCAAAAGTGACTGTAGAAAAAAGTATGCATAAGGACACAGCAAGGTTGCATAAGCAGATATAAAAAGTCAGGATGAATATGGAGACACAAAGCCTAAAATGGACCTAGATACATAAATATAAAGACTAAAGGGAAGTATAATGACATTAAAATGATGCATAAAAGACTAAAAAGGATGCATAAGATACATAAAAATGGATAAAAAGAAGCATGAAGAGACAAAAGATGCAAAAGGAGAGACAAAGAAAGCAACTTTTTGAAAGAGACAAAGCTGATTTAGGACTGAAAGATGTCTTAACACCTTTTAGTGAGAATTGCAAATAAAGTTAAATACGTCAAAGTAAAAAAGTCAATGTTATAAATTCCTAATGTTTTGAGTTGCTGAGACAGATAAAAGTAAACTGAAGATGTACATATATCCTAAGTCATGTTAAAATGGCACATCATTAAGTTCCTAATAAATATCCAACACACTTGTTGATATTTATAATTACACACTTATAACCATAAACCACATGTAACCACACCTGCCCATGCTTATTGTCCAAAACATACATCTGCCCATACCATAACCCCACCGCCTCCATGGACCACTCTATTCAGCAAACTGTTCACACACACGTCTGCCTTCTGCCCTGTAGTGAAAACCTGGATTCATCCATGAAGAGAACACCGCTCCAACACCTCAAATGTGAACATTTTCCAGACATGAGCATGCAGGTGACATTCCCTGACACAGTTCCTGCAGGAATTCCTTAGTAATGCAAACTGATTGTTGCAGCAGCTGTCTGGTCTCAGATGATCTTGGAGGTGAAGATGCTGGATGTTGAGGTCCTTCTACGTGTTCTGCAGTTGTGAGGCCATTTGGATGTACTGCCAAATTCTCTGAACATGGACACACTTAAATTTGTTATGTCTGTGGTATTGTGCTGTGTAATAAACTGCACAATTTAGAGTAGTCTTTTATTGTGGTCAGCCTAAGGCACACCTGTGCATATATCATGCATCAGCATCTTGATATGCCACACCTGTGAGGTGGATGGATGAGCTCAGCAGAGAAGTGCCCACTAACACAGATTTACCCAAATTTGTGAACATTTGAGAGAAAAGGGCCCTTTGTGAAAGCGTCTAAGATGTGCATCACATAAAACATGGGAGCGAAAACAAGCGTTTATATTTTTGTTCAGTATAAATACATTTAATTCCCTCAACTGTCTTCTTGTACTGTATGTACAAAATGTGCTGTATGATCAAACTATTAGTTTTTATTGCTTCACCCCTTACTGTTACTGAAGTGTACCGACTGAACTCAAAACTGTCTCTAAAAATTTAAATTTGTACTCTCTTCAATTTCCTATGTTCAGTTACAGTACATGAACTTTACCCATAATAAATGTTTTACGAACATCTGTGTGAGCAGGGCCTAAATCGTATGATTCACTTAACTTCAATAAGGAACCAAGTCAAGCAAAAATATTAAACGCTGGTTAATTTGTAGAAGAAAATGATCAAATGTGACTTCAACACGTGACTGCTGGTGGAATTGAACCCCCAACTCTCCCATTGGAGGATGACTGCTCTAACCACTCAGCCACAGCCACCCCTCCAGTGGTGACAGCCTTTTAGGCCAACGTGAAATGTTTGAGAAACTGTTGGTTATATTTGGCTGGAATGTCAATGAAATGTGTACTGACTGAACTTTTAATCATAATGATCACATTTAATGATGAGCAAAATGACTAAATGCATAAATAACCAGTTGTGTACTTTGTAGTATGATAATGATATTGTGCATTGTTTTGGATGCTTAGGACAGAAAGATAAAAATAACCAGCACACAGAATAACGCCTCTTTACTCTTTTACTTTAAATTGTCCAAATTATAAAATAACATGATATCTACTTCATCTACAAAAAAAAAATAAAACAACATAATTATTGACTGTAGTAAGCATCTTTTTTTTTTACTCTAACAACTTTTTAGACATGCATACTGTTGAGAAATATAAAAATATAAATATAAATACATCCCATTAATATTCTGAATGAATTCATGACTAAGATTTGAAATATTTTGTCATAAAAGAATTAAAATGCAGTTGAGTACGATAAGGCATTATGATGTATCACAAGAGCTGTACAGATTTCTAGAGGTAAACTTTTTTTCTTCTTGTTTTATTGTGATGAGGAAAATCTAAAAATTAATTTGGATTAAAATCACTAACTTTGTCAACAGGAAGAAAAGGGAAAAAGAAGCATTTTCAAAGAAACGAACAAAGAAACTACAAATTTTGAGGCAACAAATTAACACAAAACTGACTGAAACTGCACTCAAAAACAAAATCGGGTTTTGTTTACAACCAAATAGTACTTCAAACTCTTCTTATCCATCCTCGCTAACTTTTTAAACCCTTCTAAAACCCCACACATCAGACGGTTGTTCATTCATTACATTATTGATGCAGAACAAGGACTTGTGTTTAAAACAAGTGCTATACAAAGAGTTAAAACGACTAAATCTAATGCATAAGTTTCACTTATTGGACTGGTACATAAAGAAAACAAAAAGAAGTATGGCAATGACAGTTATAATCAAATGAATGGCAAACTATGTCAAAATCTTGAGTAAAATTAATGTTTTTTTATAAATATTATTGTTTACAGCTAACTAACCTAGTGGAACTGCGAACATTTTTATTTTGTCAGGACAGTTCCCCTAACAATAAGCATGACCGAGCTAGCTTGTTTTCATGCAAAACATAGTTTTCAGGTGTACGAGTCGCCATGTCAGAAGCTGAAGTGCTGATTAGTATTTTCTTTTTTAAATTATTTTTGAAGGCTAGACCAAAGAGAGGAAGACTCCGAGCAAGACAATCCAGGAAATCTCAAACCCCGATCCTCACAGAGTCCAAACCCCCCCCCAACCGATTAAGGTGCTTGATGCTCCTGAACACAACTCTCCGTTTGTTTTTGTACCTTTAGGAAGTGAACGTCCCTCAAACCCCACACCTTCCACAGCATGTTCATCGTGGTCTCTGTCCCGATCGCTTAACAAGTTTGGACTTTTTGAAGTGCGGTTCTGTGAAGCAGTTAGCAGCAGTTACCTGACAGACCGTCTTAACGAACAGATTTAGCAGAAAAAGGACAGAATGAGTCAGATTAACCAGCTGAATCAAATCAACAATTGTGGCTCATCTGAATCAGACTCCCCCGTTTGGCCTCGAAGCAGGCCGACTTATCACATTTCTTCTGGGACATGGGTAAACTAAGGAAAATCTCTGTCTATCACCCCCCCAAGAACTTCTGTGAATGCTTATTAGAGCTGTACCGGATGACACCAACATCTTATCAGGACTATGGACTATCTGGAAGTGCTTCATGGACAAATCTCACCGTCTTGTCGTCAAATGCACATGTAATGTGTTTATAAATGTGATTGCTGGTAGAGTTTTGATGTTTTAAATCGTACTATCCTCTCCTCATGGCCTTTTCTAATTAAAAAGAATAAGAGGCCGTGCTCTTATAGGAGCAGCAGCAACGTGCACTCCGCCCATCTTTCGGACAACTGTACAAACATAATCTCACTGTATTTCGGTACAATAATAATAAAGCTTATTCTGATTCTGCATTGAAAAGTATCTGATCTTTTACATTCTTGTGCGATACCTTCTAGATTAAAGGTCCTTTCGCATTTCTAAAAAATATTTCTTTTTAAAAACCTGCAAGGGAACAAAACGTTCCTGGTGTTGCAACAGCCACTTAACAGAAACTCCATTAACATTTAGCCTCACAAAGGAAACTTGTTCTCTGCAGCCCAGAACAATCCCTCCTGTGACGGAAACCAATCCACCCATAACCAAACAGTTCTTCCTCTACACACTGGCTTATAGATATCCTCTTATCTAAACAGAAGTCATCTTCACTGCCATAATCCTTCATTGTTAGTCTTAAAGTGATCTGGAAATAATACCAGCAAACCGACAATCTTCAGCTGACAAGACGGACCGATACGACCAGCAGCCTCGTTATTTCACACAATAACACGGACACATTTTGGCTTACTAAACAGCAACTGACTAGACCAGGCATGGGAATCTTATAGTCATTGGAAAACCTGAAATCAAACGTCTCATTCTGCAATCAAAATCCCTGCTTTTATTTTAAACCCTGCTTTTGCAGTGCTTTTATTTTGAAGGTGAGTGAATGCTTACGTCGGCTGTTTCCTGTGTGTGCGCTAACAGGGGAGGGTCACCAGTTTGTGAATGAGTTACAGTCACATCAGCACACAAATTTAAAAAAAAAAGAAAAGAAAAATGAATCGATATTGAATGTTTTTCACAAAATATAAACTTTTAAGTGTATTTTTTTTTTTTTGGGGCCAAACCCAAGGGAGAAAAAAAAAAAAGATTTTTATTTAAAAAGAAATGTAACAAATAGCTAATAATATTAATTTAATGCTGGTGTTTTAAATGCTGTAAAACGTGCATATTTTTAACAAACGTTTCACTATTTACATTAAAGATAAAGTTAAATTCTCTGTACGACTGGTTAAGATTTTTACTGATTACTTCTAGCAGCTAATATAAATTTAGAGCCAATTATGTTTTTTAAATTTGGCTGAAATGAACTTAACACAGTCTGGCCCTCAGGAAAAGTGCCAGTTTCATAAATGGCCTTTAAAAAAAAAAAAAATAGTAGCCCACTCCAGGACTAGACAATCTCATGCAAAAGCACCGAGGTGTAAAATCCAAGTAGCATTTATTTGCAATTAAATTTTTGAATTTGTGGGTTTTTTTGTTTTTTTTTACCGAAATTTGCTAAAATCAGAACCCCAGTCTGACCAGTCTTTAGCTTGATCCCCATCTTAAAATGTATTGCTGTTTCTACAATCTCAGTTTGTCTACTACAAGGTACTAATTATTGACAACTACTTCATGGAACCCCACTTCAAAAGATCCGAACCACCTCTTTAACACCCTACCAAGAGAAGACATGTTGAACTAGCATTTAATCTAAATTGAATCTCCATCTTGTGGAAAACAAACATGCAAGTGAAACTTCCCGTCTAATGTTTTGTTTTCTACAAGCTATTTTCTCCCTGCAACTTCTTAACGCAAGTCATTTGGATTATTTTCTGTTTAATTCTGAGTTGCAAAAATGGAGGTAAGATCAGAGCTGGTGTGAGACATACAGTACTTGGAGCGCTTGCAGAGAGCAGCTGATGCCAAAAAGAGTTGAGGGGAAGATCATACAGAAGGCTCTTTCACAAAACACTTCCAAGTTGGGACTTGACGCCTTCTGGCTGCCTCGGTGACAGTTCTAAATGGACTGAGGAGGCAAAGGGGTCAATGCCAACCTACCCCTGAAGCACCTTTACGCTGCAAAGCGAGGTAGCATTGAAATGATAAAGACGTGAGCTTAATATTGTGATGACATTCGGTCTGTGCAACGTGGCAGCAGGAATAAACTACAACAAACAGATTTATTACTGATGCACAGAAAGTTTGCATTTAGTTAAAAACAAATTAATTGATCACAAAAAGGATTGCTAAAGTGAGTTAATTCATATTTTGTAAATGATAGAAGGGAGCCATCCGTCACACATTTAATGCGTTGCGCTCCACGTCAATCCAGCTAAGTTCTGCTCCATGCCTCTTTTTGATCCACGATGTTCACGTTATTTCTGAAAGTTCACGTCTCTACAGGACGTGGCCGGTTCATGGTTTATGAATGGCCAGAGGCAGGATAAGCCCAGACTGGTCTGTGCAGCCTTTGTGTGGAAATGTTTTGTGAAAGCGTCTCGAGAGAGAGAGAGGGCAGAGAGGGGAGAACGATACAGTAAATGCTCACAAAACTACCGCTTCACGGGAGCATTAAGAAACATCTGGACACCACATCCACATTTGTCATTCGTGTCAGTGAACTTGCCGCAGCCACAAAGGTCCATCTTTTAATTGGCTTCAGTCTGTCACCATTTATTTTCTTCTTTTACTCTAGCTATGCAGCTTTGAGGTGAAACTGCTTTGCTGGTTTTAGCTTCTCCTGTGATCTTACCTGTAAGTGTGACAAAACTGAAACCAGGTCAGCATCTAAATAACTTCCACCTTCTCCACCCTTACCCTCTACCTCAAGCTAGCTCTCTGCTGCTAACTGTGGGACTGTGGAGCTGCGATGCTAGAGCAGTCTGTGACCAGCAGGTCCACCACCGTGTTACCGGTAACATAAACGGTGGGGGCTGTCACCATGTTGCTGAGGGAGACGGAGCTGCTGGCAACCACGTTAGAGGTGATGGGGCTCGGGGCGCCTTGGACGGTGCTGTGGGTGCCCATGTGACCCTGGAGCTGGGTGGGCGTCTTGCAGTGGATGCCACACAAGTGGCAAACGAGAATACCACCCGAGGCTGTCCCTCCAAAGCCCCCTGGACTGTCCTTCCACTCCTGACCGTGGTGCTTCTGAGCATGAACACGAAGGTACGTCAGCGTGGTGAAGCCTGATGGAGGACAGCAGAGCCACGAGTTATTCCAAAGGAAAATATTAAGTAAAAGTACAGAAGCATTTTACTGGAAGTTTGAAACTGAATATTGAAAGCTATAAATTTCTGACTGCTCACTTGCAATTACTTTCTTAGCATAAAGACTAAAAGCAAGGATGTGACCGCAACTCAACCTGAATGAAAGTGAAAACCAAAATATCTTCTGCTACTGATGTGTTTATATCCTAACATTGGTTGTAATTTATAACCAACACGGCACATATTTTTTGTATTTATACTGGTTAGAGTAATGTGTGGGAGGGTAAAATCTATTTTTACATGTAAAGTGCCGCCGACATGGAAGATTCAAAATCAATTTTCAAAAACAGATTTTGTCAACGTTAATCTGTGCTGCCACTTTAAGTCAGCTGAGTAGGTGCTGTGCAGTTTGTCCTAAAACAGTTGCCATGGCTGCTGTAGTTCACACATGTTGCTTTGTCTTTTCACATCTTTGTTAGTTTTTCTTTGCTGAACCCTGAGGAATGGACCGTATGTCTATAACAACCGTTGACGTGATAACATCACTGCTTTTAGAAATGACTTTGAAACGTTTCTAAATAAAACACAATGCTAATGCTAAGTTCTTGAAGATGGCAGCCATCGACTTTGACCTTGGCTTTGTCTGGATTAGCAGTAGCTTGTAAATCTGGTCAGAATTTAACTTTTTCTTCAAACCAAGGTCATCGAAAGCGCTATCTACAACCGATAAGATATTGACTGTTCCACAGAACCCCACATTAAAACATGACTGTCAGGTTAAGTACCCACTTTAACCCATGTCTGTCTTTATATAGCGGTAAGATAAATACATTTATGTACTCACTGCGGTTACAGAGGTGACAGACATGGTGCTGCGACTGGTTGTGAACCCTCATGTGATCCGTGATGTAAGCAGCAGACAGCAGCTTCCCACAGATGTGGCACGGTACCTTCTCCTCATGACGAATCATATGCGCTCGCAAGCGATCCTTTGTGGCAAAGCAAGACTCACACGTCTGAGGAACGGCAGAGGATACGCATCATTAAAAAAAAAAAAGAAAAATATATGAATGACGAAAACAGAAAAACCTAATCTAATTTAAACATATTATATTTACCCCTTTCTACATCAATTCTTTTAGATTAATTGTCAGACTTCTACTTGGAGATACAGATTGAACCTGATAATTAAACTTGAAAAAGCTATGATGATATGACAATGCTGATGTGACGTACAGGACATTTGAAGGGTCTTTCTGAAGAGTGCACTTGTCTGACATGACTGTTGAGATGATCAGGCCTTTAGAAAACAGGAAAAACACGTTAGAACTGGTGATGGTTTGAGGGTTAATGACACATACGGGATGACCGCTTGTTTACCTTGAGAAAGCTTTGCTGCAGTGAGGGCAGATGTAGGGTTTCTCTACGCCACCCTGGTGGGAGCGCACGTGGTGGCTCATGCGGTCCTTTCTCTTGAAGCGCTGCTGGCAAATGGGACAGGAGAAAGGCTTCTCGTCCGAGTGGGACAGGCGGTGGCGGTTGAGATGGTACACGTCCCTGAAGGCCTTCCCACACGTCTCGCAGGCGTGGTTCTTCTTCACGGGGATTGGGTTTGGGTTAGCAGGCCGCTGAGGCAAAACAGACAGGCTGCAGAGTTTAGATCGGGAAGTGTTTCCTGCTCAGGAGTCAATTTATTCACACTGTAAGAAGTAACTCAGACCACTACTCTAACGCTTGTGCTCTAATTGGAACCCATGCAAATACAGAAACTTAGCCAATTAGACAATTCTGACACTTATGTTAGAGAAGTTACTTCCTGCTTGACTTGCACACTGTTTGTGTTACAGAGAACATGCAGGGGAGCGTGGGGGCTTCAAGCACATTGTTTCTTAAACTGGGGGCCAGTATCAAACACTGGAATGAGCGTTACTGGTCCCAAAACTGGTTAGTTTTCATTTAATTTTTCCTCATATTTAACACGCAGGTAAATTAAAAATTATTCTAAGGCAGCAGCTGAAGCAGCCTTACAGTGCAACGGTTTAGGAAACAACATGCCTGAAGGTTTGGCGCCAACGACAGCCATCGTTCATAAGGCCCTGACCCACCTGTACTGTCGCCCCTGTGGCCATGACGACAGCAGCAGGAGGCGGAGCGTGCGGGTTAACACCAGCCATTATGTTAGGCATGGCAACCCTTTCACCATCCTGACCACCCAGTGGGGGATGCTGGGCGCCCACCAGCACGCCAGGAGGGGCAAGAGGGGGAGGCGCAGAGAGGTGCAGCAGGGAGAGGGGAACAGTGGTCCTCTCCACGCCCCCTCCGGCCCCCACTATCATTGCCGGCGGGGCCGCTGCTGCCACCACAACCAACTGGCCAGCTGCTCCCTCCTTTGCTCCCTCCGCCTGCACTCTGGCCCTGTCCTTCATGCGTACCCCAGTGTGGACCGACTGGTGCCGCCGCAGGTTGTAGTTGTTCTTAAACTGCTTGTTGCAGATGGCACAGATGTGTTGGGCGCGGGTTGGCCGAGGTGCTGGCTTCACTGGATCCAAAAGAGCAAGGAGAAAAAAAAAACAAGAGAGAAATTTGTTAAAAATCTGTGCAAGTGCTAATTATTTTGTATTAGGGATGCACGATATTATCGGCATGATATCAGCTGATATTTGTGATAAAGTTAAATATCGACATCGGCCATTCCATCAAAATAACTCGCCGATATAAAAGGTGCAGTTTTTTTTAAATATATATTATATATAGTGTTACATCATTTTCAGCCCCCTTTTTGGCATCGGTATCAGGCCAAATTGACAAAGACCATGCAGAATAATGTAGTTTAATTCCACAGCAGAGAAAGCTATCTAGTCTCTGTAAGTAGGTCTAGGAAAAAATACATAGTTATTGGTTATGGGCCAAATAAGTTTTAACATATCGGCAAAAAATCCAATATCGTGCATCCCTATTTTGTTTAGCCTTGATTTAATAAACAGCAGGATAACTTGACAACACTTCTGAATGTTTTCAAATTGATGACTCTTTTCTAATTGTTTAGTTAAATTCAGGTGGTGCCTTTAAATTCACCAGGAAGTGTATTTTGCATGTTTTATCTACGTCATGGCAAAAACACCAAATAGAGCATGGTTTAAAAATAACTGCTAGCATTCAATTTGAAGCACCTCCTTTACACCTAAGGTGTAAATGAACATTTGAAAAAACAGAATTACATTTGATAAAACACAACAAAACCAACAAAAACAGCGTTTGACAAAACTAAATTGCATTAAAAAAACAGAATTACATTCGAAAAAACGGAATTAAATTAAGCCAAAGTGGAAGTTGCCAGAATCGCATTTGAAAAAAACGGCATTACATATGAAAAAAAACGGAATTACATTTGAAAAAAAAAACGGCATTACATATGAAAAAAACGGAATTACATTTGAAAAAAAACGGAATTACATTTGAAAAAAAACGGCTCTACATTTGAAAAAAACGGAATTACATTTGAAAAAACGGAATTAAATTAAGCCAAAGTGGAAGTTGCCAGAATTGCATTTGAAAAAAACGGCATTATATATGAAAAAAACGGAATTACATTTGAAAAAAAAAAAACGGCATTACAATTGAAAAAAATGAAATTACATTAAAAAACGGTAATTATATCATTTTTGAATGATTCTGTTTGTTCAAATGTAATTCCGTTTTTTATAAAGTTATTCCATGTTTTTCTAAAGTATTTCCGTTTTTTCTAATGTAATTCCGTTTTATTCAAATGTGATTCCAGCCACTTCCGCTTTGGCTTAATGCAATTCAGTTTTTTCAAATATAATTGAGTTTTTTTTTTTTTTTTTACCCGATTCCATTTTTTTCAAATGTAATTCCGTTTTTTTCTCATGTGATTTCGTTTTTCTCAAATGTAATTCCATTTTTTTTTCAAATGTAGTTCTGTTTTTCTAATGTGATTCCGGCCACTTCTTTCACTTCTTTGGCCACTTCCGCTTTGGCTTAATGCAATTCTACTTTTTCAAATGTAATTACGGCCACTTCCGCTTTGGCTACTTCTGCTTTGACCACTTCCGCTTTGCCTTAATGCATTTCCGTTTTTTCAAATGTAATTCCGTTTTTTTCAAACGTTGTTCATTGACACCTCAGGGCCACCTCCGTGCTATCAACTCACTCCCAAGGTATTTATCTGATTATACAGTCAAGTCTTTATGTTCAGTCAAGTGCATCCTGTCCTCCCTGGGGGTTTCCAAACACCTGACTGACCTAAGAACAGCCAATAGATGACTAAGTTCTGCTCCCTAGAGCTCCACAGATGCAGAGGTGTGTTCCTCACCAGGCAGGGGTTCCTCACTGAGAGCAGTGGTGTCCACAGTGGAAGGAGGCTGTGCTATGTGCTCTGTGGGTGGGGTCTGGGGAGAACTCGTATGCACTTGCATGAGCTCTGATTGGAGGCTCCCCTCCACTTGGTTTTGGATGGGAGTACTCTGGAGAAGCAAGGAGAAAGGCCATCACCAAACGTAAACACCAGTCACAGCATTATCTTGTAGCAACACCAGGTGAGGACTGCTGGGCACACACCGAGCAGGCCTGCGTGCGTGCGTGTGTGGAGGAAATAAAGTGAAAGCAGAAAATGAAAAATCAGATCCGAGGCCTGCAAAGCCTGCCTACCTGGAAGAGAAAATTGCTCCAAGCAGCATCCATTTTGCGCCACAGAGATGGAGATTATGAAGTCAGCTCCTGATTGAGGTCGTGGAGAGCAGCTTTCGCATGGTTTGGATGGGTCCAAACAGTCCCGCAGCAGGAGCCACGGGGCTCCTGGGTCCTCTTAAAACCGCGAATAATCACAAAGTCGTCGGGAATCTGTTCTCATTGAGGGAGCGCTGTCACTTAAAACGCAGGCAGCTGTTGAGTAAAAGCGGGCAGCAGTGAGTAACACAGGCACAGGAGGAGCAGGCCGAGTCCTCCAAAACAGCCCGATTAAGTCTTTAACTTTTAACTTTAGTAATTCGTTTAACACCAACCTGCCAAAACACGGAACTATCACACAGCAGAACTTACAAAAAATAACCCCCAAAACAAAGCGCTCCCTGCTGAGGATTCACTATTAAACCAGTCACCGTGAAATAAATGCATATTTTAGCGCAATAGACCACTAATGAGTTATAACACACGTATCTGACAGCACAGCGGGTCATGCTTTGTTTTGAACGTATGAATCTATTTGATCCGATTTTCCCCCGATAGGCCAATCGGGTGTTTGTCGAAGCCTCGGTGCTGGATTCAAGCTCTGACCCCGGCGAGCGGCGCTCCCGCCCGGCCGCAGCCTCTCGCTCCACCTCGGCCGTTCAGCTCCGAGGATGTCATCTTTCTTTTTTTATCGCCCCGCGCTCCCTCCTCCCTTCCCTGTCTCTTTCTTCCTTTTCTTTTTTAATTCCTCTTTCTTCTCCCCCTCCTCTCCTTTTTTTTCCTCGCACCGCTGTGTCCCACTTGCTCTTAAAGGGATAGCGTTTCCTCTCCGTCTGATTTCCGTCCTCTCGTGGACAGCTTGTCCTCTAGCCCCTTCCTTCCTGGATATTCGGCCGATACAAAATGCGCTCCGGCGTTTTCCTTTCTTCTCCGGGCCAGGCGGTTCCGAGCAGGGAAACACGCAGAATGACTTTCTATTAGCCGGGACATTAAAGACGCATCTTAAAGGGGCGATGGGTCCTAAAAAAAGATCACAAAACTAAAACGTACATGTGCAACATTAGATAATAATAAACCAAACAGCGTTTAGTTTTTTTTTATATTATTAAAACCTTTATGGTGAAATTATTATTTTTATTCATGTTATATATATTCATGTTGTTTTGTGACAATCTTGGTGGGAAGCTGTTTTTCACAAGTTTTATGGTTGATTTTTATTGTAAAACCAAAACCTTTGTTAAAAAAATGCAGCAATATATAGGACTGAGCTCTTTTTTTTTATAAACAACATAATTAATAATTTAATATCCATTCGCTAATTGTTAGCAAAAGACTAGCCAACATCTAAAAGGAGCAAAAAGCTAAAGATAGCAAAAGGCTAACTAAAGCTAAGACTAGCAAATGACAAGCTAGCTGGTTAAATTAGCTGATGATTAGGTAAAAACTAAAAGTAGCAAAAGTCTAGCTATAATCTTCTTTCAACTGTTCCCTTCTTCAGGGGTCACCACAGTGAACTAAGTCGCACGAAGACTTGGCGATTATTTTTATGCTGGATGTCCTTCCTGACGCAACCGTCGAGCTACTACAGCCCTCAGTGTGGAGCAGAGAGCTGCCATCTAGGACACCTGGGGGAGCAGATGGTGGGGGTTAAAGGCCTTGCTCAAGGGCCCAGAGTGGGACAAATGAGGGTGGGGGCAGGTGTGGGTGCTTCACCTATCCTACCCACATTTTCATGTTGTCGGTACTGGGAGTTGAACCGGCGATCTTCCAATCCTTTTCTAACCTTTGCACCACCACTCCCTCAAAACAAACAAACAAAAAAGTCTAGCTAAAAAGCAAGAAGCAGCAAAAGGCTCAATAAAAGCTAATTGTTAAAAAAAAAAAATAGATGTAGCAAAAAGCTACTTGTGTCAAACATTGCAAAAGTCTAGAAAATGGAAAAAAGCTAGAAAAACTACAAATTGATAGCTATAAGGTCAAACTAGCTAAAAGATTAGATGAAAGCTTGCAAAAGGCTAGAAGTAGCAAAAGTTTGAGTAGCTAAAAGCTCATTAAAAGCGGAGTAGCAAAAGGCTACCTTACAGTTAAAAGTAGCCAAAAGCTAGCAAAAGAAAACTAAAAGTAGCAAAAGATTTGCTATCTCGTAAAGTAGCAAAACGCTAGCTAGTTGTGGTAACAAGCTTATTTGTGTCTGTGAAAATATTAGTAAAATCAAAGTAAAACTCATCAAATCAAGACACGTTAATGTGTTAATATCAATTTATTATCTTAAATGACTTTTTAAAACACCCCATCATTTTCCAATACATGTGGTAACCTTTCTTTCCCTACGCAAGCTTTAAATTGCTTGATGTGAATGTTTGAGAAGCACAAATACCCCCCACCGATCAAAAACATGACCCAAAAAAAACAAAAAACCAACCCCAAAAACACCTCAGCCAGACACAGATGGACCTGTGTTCCTCTGTCACCAGGGATGCTGCAGGAACGGAGACTCCCTGCACCGACAGGGACCGAACAAACACAACCACACACTGATTTCCACACACCGAGGCCGTCCCAAACCCGCAGTCTATGAGTTTATACAAGGAGTTTATGCATGCACCGAGAATCAGTCCAACCAAGCAGAAAGTAGCATGTTATTCAGAGAATTGTCTTGAGCTGGTGTTTCTGAGTCATACAAACAGCAGGGTGATTATCTTTCTTCTGCTCCTTCAGTTCAAGTTACAATAATAATAAGAATTTAAAAAAAGTTCTGATCATGTCTGATGTCCTTCAGGCAGCCCAAACGATTGAAGGTGAAACCATCACTGAACACTGACTTGTGTGGACGGGCTGCTGCGGTCACTGCTGCTGTGGTGGGACAAGATGGAAGGGAGGGGGTCCACGTTCACAGCAGCTCAGTCAAAGTCCGTCCTGATGTTTCTTCTTCGGCTGCACATTTTCCACTGCCTGCATGCTGCATCCTTCGGCAGTCAGTTTATCTGCTTAATCCGTAAACAAATAAATACTAAAAGAAAACAAGTGTTTACATTCCAGTGGACTTTTTTTTTTTTTTTTACAGTAAGAGTCCAGAAGAGGTCAGAGTTCACACGAGCAGTGGGGTGTCCTTTAAATTTCAGTTTAGTTGTTTAAAAAAAAAGAAAAAGTGGCAATATACTTAGACTTCACCGCTCAACATACATACATCATTAACAATTAGTACCCATCCCTTATTAATAATTATTATTATCTTAAAGACACACCACACCTGACAATGCAACAATTTTATCAGCTATTTTTCTTTCTTTTTATATATATTACAGTAAACGTGGGTCATTTTGCTTTTTGAACATAAACCGTGAACATGATTACAACACCACCAGTTAACACCAGGATTAGTTATGGTAATATAGACACCTATAGAAAACGCAGCTGGAGTTGTCTAAACCTTGACTTGAATTTGAATATATATAAAAAATTACTATCATTGTCTTTGTTACTCTATAAAACCAAAATGATTTGTTTGTACTGCTCCCATAAGTATGTACAGTGAAGATCAAAAACATGGGACAGCGATCTTAAATGCCAGTGAAATATGTTTACTATAATTTTTTTTATACATCTATATCATGCACTGGAGTGATTCCTGTAGACACCTATGAAGTTTAGATATTCAACATGTCGTCAATGCCAAAAAAACATCATTTTTAGGTATTTATCTATGTCCACGCAAACATTTCAACTCGTCCTTGCCGTGTTTTTTTTTTTTTTGAAAGAGTCTTTACAAACATTCTGTGTATTTGTGTTTAAATAATAATTTTTAAAAATGATGGCACGACATCCTTTTAAGAAACTCCTAAAGGCATTGGTGACGTTCCAAGCAACTTGTTTTTTGTGTTTTACACATTTATAAAAAAAAAGTAAATCTTTCCTAAACTCCTGAATACTGGAGAATTAAATAACCCATTAT